AATAGGAGAGGCCCCTTAATGTATCTTAGAATAAATCTTTTAAAAAAGATCCTAAGAATGATAATGAAAAATCCTTTTTCAAAAGACATTAAAGAAGACTAAAATAATTGGAAAAATGCACCATGATTATGGACAGAATGAATATAGTAAAGATGTCGATTCTCTCCAGATAAATCCCTAAGTTTAAGGCAATTCCTACCAAAGTGCAACAGGAGATTTCACAGAAATCCTACAATGTGTACAGAGGACTAAAGGGCCCAAGACATTCTGAAGAAGAATTAAGATGAGGGAGAGTAGGAGCTCATAGTGGCAGCTACAAAGACTCTAAGCTGTACTGTTTATTTTTTATTAATTTTTATTTTTTTAAAGCTGTGCATGTATTTTCTGCAATTAAGTTCCCAAATTAAAGTTCCTTTCATACTTTTCAATTTTTTTCTTAAATATTTTATTGTCAAGTTGGTTTCCACATAACACCCAGTGCTCATCCCCACAAGTGCCCTCCTCCATGCCCATCACCCCCCTTCCCCTCTCCCCCACTCCCATCAGCCCTCAGCTTGTTCTCAGCATTCAACAGTCTCTCATGGTTTGCCTCCCTCCCTCTCCCCAACTATTTTTCCCCCTTCTCCACCCCCACGGTCCTCTGTTAAGTTCCTCCTTATCCTCCTATACGTGCAAACACATGGTATCTGTCCTTCTCTGCCTGACTTATTTCACTCAGCATAACACCCTCAAGGTCCATCCATGTTGCTACACAAGGCCAGATGTCATTGTTTCTCTTTGCCATGTAGTGTTCCATCGTATAGATACACCACATCTTCTTGATCCATTCGTCCGTTGATGGACACTTAGGCTCTTTCCATGATTTGGCTCTTGTTGAGAGTGCTGCTGTGAACATTGGGGTCCCTGTGCCCCTATGCATCCGCACTCCTGGATCCCTTGGGTAAATTCCCAGCAGTGCTATTGCTGGGTCACAGGGGAGTTCTAGTGTGAATTTTTTGAGGAACCCCCACACTGTTTTCCAGAGGGGCTGCACCAGTTTATACTCCCACCAACAGTGTAGGAGGGGGCCCGTTTCTCCACATCCTCGCCAGCATCTATAGTATCCTGATTTGTTCATTTTAGCCACTCTGACCGGCATGAGGTGGGATCTCAGTGTGGTTTTGATTTGTATTTCCCTGATGAGGAGGGACGCTGAGCATCATTTCATGTGTCTGTTGGCCATGTGGATGTCCTCCTTGGAGAAGTATCTGTTCATGTCTTCTGTCCGTTTCTTCACTGGATTTGTTTTTTGGGTGTGGAGTTCCTTATAGATTTTGGATACTAGCCCTTTATGTGGTATGTCATTTGCAACTATCTTTTCCCATTCCGTCGGTTGCCTATTAGTCTTAGTGATTGTTTCCTTTGCCGTGCAGAAGCTTTTAATCTTGATGAGGTCCCAGTAGTTCATTTTTGCTCTTGATTCCCTTGCCTTTGGCGATGTGTCAAGTAAGAAATTGCTGCGGTGGAGGTCAAGGAGGTTGTTTCCTGCTTTGTCCTCTAGGGTTTTGATGGTTTCGTGTCTCACATTCAGGTCCTTCATCCATTTTGAGTTTATTATTTTGTATGGTGTGAGAAAATGATCTAGTTTCCTTCTTCTGCATGTTGCTGTCCAGTTCTCCCAGCACCATCTGTTAAAGAGGCTGTCTTTTTTCCACTGGACACTCTTTCCCACTTTGTCAAAGATTAGTTGGCCATTCATTTGTGGGTCCAATTCTGAGTTCTCTATTCTATTCCATTGGTCTATGTGTCTGTTTTTGTGCCAGAAGCTGTAGTGTTTAAATATGTGAGGGATTTGTGAGAGGAGAGACCAGAGACCAATGGGTCCTGACAGAGAGCTTACGAGCAGCACTTACTATTGGACAGAGGTGCATTTCAAACGAGTGGGAATGAATGAACTATTCAAGGGGTGCCTGACTCCCTTGGTTAAGTGTCAACTCTTGATTTTGGCTCAGGTCATGATCTCACTTAGGTTGATGAGATGGAGCCCCGTATAGGGCTCTGTGCTGACAGCATGGACCCTGCTTGGGATTCTCTCTCTCCTCTCTTTCTCTCTGCATTCCTCTACCCCACTCACACACACTCTCCAAATAAATAAACATTAAGAAATATTAAAAAAAAAAAGAATGAACTATTCAATAAATGGTGCCTCCACATCACACCCCAAAATCATTTCCAGTGGATGAAAGAGCTAAATGCTCTTGAAAAACACTTTGGGGTGGGGGAGAATATAGTCAATTCTCACTATTTGTACTATTTGTGTTCTATAGAATTGCAGCAACTACTGGTTTCGTGAACACTGAAGCACTGCTCCTGGGGAAATACAGGGCTTGGTCCCTGTGAGACTTTGGCCAAAAGATTTTCATCAACTGATCAATAACATAACCTCATTTCATGTGTGTTTCTGTTTAAAGACACCTCCCTTCATACATATAGTTGATTCATGAACACTGAACTCAGGCCAGCAGTGCTCTACCTCATGCCTGAAGGAAACTTATCTAACACACCTGTTTTCTCTGAAAGACTCCCCACCCCCACTCCTACCCCAAGGCCTGCTTGCACGTAGGAACCACACTAGAAAGAACTCAAGCACTATGTCTCAGGGCCATTTTCAACAGTGAAATCACCACCACAAAGCACAAAAATACAAAAAAACGTGGCACAAAATATACCATGAGAAGGACGTTTGCTTGCAGTCTGAAAGCCGAACTTTCAGAAGGCAGAGAATTGCCTTGTTTGACCTCAGCCAGGAACATGTTTGACTCCAAATTTCACTGCTTTGCACACCGCCACCGTAAATATTGATTGTGAATATACATATACACATTCGTAAGGTTGAAATGTGTTTAAGCACAACTCGTATGTCAAGCATAAGTTTTACAACATTAAATAACAATCTTCAGTAAAATCAAAGTATATATTTTAGGTGAAAACTCCAACAAAGGCATATAATTAATTCCAGAGATTGGAAGCCCAAGAGAGAAAATGAGAGCTCCAAAAAGAACTCCAAGAATAAATAACCAAATGCGATTCAGAAAGCAGCCAAAAATGACTCATCCCGGACTGCCTTCAAACCACCATCTTGGGATTATCTGTGGATTTTCATATGCGAGAACAGGGCAGAAGCTCTATACACATCAGGTTGTACACAATCGGAGCCCTCAGCAAGATTCTGTTCTTTTGGAACCACTCTCAGTATGAAATTTTCTATCACTCACGGTTCGACCAGAGGCTGAGCCACAGGATATAGATGCATATGTGCCTATGTGTATATGTATGAAGCCACCAAAAGGGGCTTATGCAAACGCAGGAGCTGGTTAAGCAGTCTCTGTAAGATGGCCATACCTGGGGTTGGGGCTCCAAGGCCACACGGCAGGTAGTCCGCAGGGGAAGGTCAAAGCAGGCTGGAGCGCACAAGCACGCGCAGACACTCCACAGGAACAGACCGAAGACTGAAGACTGAGTCCCTTCTCAGCCTTTGGTGTTGGTGATTGGTGATGAGGTCATCCCGCAGAAGCCGGCGCCCTTCATCATGGAGCTAATACCACCTGGGCCAGGAGTCTCATCACGGAGCTAACACACACCTGGGCCAGGAAGCCAAGACGCTGCCAGAGGATCCGGGGGAACGTAGAGCAATCGCAGGCCTGGCAGCCAACAAAGTGACTCAGCAGGTCACAATAGCGTGTGCAAGCTACACCATGACCACTCCTTCCCCTTGTCTTCCCAGTCATTCAAGAAACTCCCAGGCCACCCATCTTAACCAGAAACATGTAAGAAAAGGGAATTCTGAGAAATTTAGTTCAGCTGGCCAACTTGGCACACTAGAAAACCATCACACTCTTCAACGGTTATGTCTCTTCAGACTCCCGTTTTGTTCTTCAGTTAGCTTTAGTAAATTATAATTTTCCCTAGGAACCAGTCCATTCACCTATTATTAAAAATAGTTATTTACCGTATTCTTGTGAACTAGTTTTAGCAATTTCTGGTTGCTACAGTTACATCCCTTTTCGCTCATTAATATGGTTATCTTCTTATGTTGTTTCTAATTTAATTGCATTATGATCAGGGAATGTAGTATCTTTCTTTTTGGTTGCTTGGTATTTGAGAGATGTTTTGTGGTCTAATACATGATCAATTTTTATAAATGTTCCATGTGTGCATGTAAACAATGTGTATTCTCTAAAAGTGATTCCAGAGTACACACGCCTGCAATTAGGTGAATTAGGTTGTCCAAAATTCTATACACTATTTTTTTATTTACATGGTCAATTCCTGACATGGGCATATTAAAAATCTCCCTCTACAAATTTCTCCTATTAGTTATGTCAATTTTTGCATTATAAATACGTTTATAATTCTTCTATATTCCAGTGAATCATTCCTCTTAGTAGTCAGTAATGACCTTTTACACCCCTAATGATATTTTTTTTGCCTCAAAGTCTATCCTGTCCAATGTTAGTATTGCTATGGTTTTAATTATGCTCTTTTTTTTTTTTCCTGCCCACTAAGGGGTTTCTTCTAACTTTCTTGCCAGCTCAACTATGCATCAAAAAAATTTTGTTGTATTTTATCCATTACTTCTAGAGTGTGTCCCAAGCGGGGTTGCAGGATATCTAACCTGGCATATTGATAGATCTTGAAGTTCTCAAAATTAGAAAAAAATGAAACATATACTCGCCTCTAAAGAGAAATCTATTATGTTTGATATGCGATCAGAATAGCAGAACGAATTGCACAGTGTATGCGTAACCCAGGCCCCATCTCACCAAAGGTGTCAAACCATATTAATTGTAGGACTCAATCTGAATCGTATTCACTTTGTATCTCCAACAGGCAAGGAAAAAAATATGCTTTTTCAAACAATCCACTCCCACAGCTTCCCCGAAGAATCTGATATGGCCCCCATCCCTCAAGGGTGGTTCCCCCACAATTGAGAATCACTAGTTTATGGTCTCCAAAGAAGATTCAGTTTAAAGACAGAAATATTTTATTCCATTACTAGGTTCGTATTCTTCCTCCCATCCCTCAGTCACTCACAGATGTTGCACTTTTCTCTGGGGCTCTGTGGGTTCCTTTCAAGATGTTTCCAAATGGCTCTGGTCTCCTGGTCCAAGAGGCCAACACGAGGCTCAAATCCTATTTCTACCTGGCAATGCAGGAGTCCCAACACTGGAGCCAAATCCTATCAGCTGACATTTAACCTAGTCTTACCAATTACAGCTTACTGGGGACTCAAATACCCACACTACACATCTGCTCATGGCATGAATGGGGGTCTACTTTTCTCTACAACTGATTATGAATTACAAGGGTTCTGGGAAAGATGGTGTCGGTGATTTGGGCTGCAAGGTTTACAAGGAGAGAAAGCCCTGGTTCTTGTTAAGCAAGGCTGCTCTCTGATTTGTTCAACTTATCCAATTTATGCACTACATAGAAAGCCTTTAGAAACTCATTAAAGTCAATGCTTCCGTCTTTGTTTAAGTCCATTCTTTCAGCGAGGTCATCAACTTGAACATCATCAATATGAATGTTGTAGTGACGATTGAAGAGTTTCCACATGGAACGAAATTCTTCCATGGAAATCAGGCCTAAAGGAATATAGAAGAAGGTGTGAGTGTTCGTTTTAAGACCCATCTAAGGGTGGGGTGGGGAAGCTATACTGACTGAATGGTCCCAATGAGAAGCTCACTACCATGTCTGACCATCAAGACACTGAAGGAAATGGAAAAGTCAGATCGTAAATATAAGAAACAATATGTCACTCTCAACTGACAAGTGATCCTGACATTATTCCAAACCTGGAATGAGTATACACCCATGGGATGGGGGGTAGATTGTGGACCGTGGGACCTTATGTGGTAGAGAAATTATAAGATCTAAATAAAATCTAAGGGAAAAGAACATCAAAGCAGAGGGAGAAGATACCCTGGCACTCAATTAGAGGACTGCAAACAGTGGCTATGCCATGTTTTATAGGCAATATTTTGCTTTCATATTTTGATTACTGACTTTTTGGTATTCCGTGATCTCTGCAGTTGAGGATTATCTGATGATTGTTTTAAAGTTTGAAAATAAGTATGGGGCACCTGGGTGGCTCAGTCAGTTAAGTGTCCGACTTTGGCTCAGGTCATGATCTCGCAGTTCATGAATTTGAGCCCTGCGTCCAGCTCTGTGCTGACAGCTCAGAGCCTGGAGCCTGCTTCAGATTCTGTGTCTCCCTCTCTCTGCCCCTCCCCACTCACACACACATACTCTCTCTCTCTCTCTCTCTCTCTCTCAAAAATAAACAAAAACATTAAAAATAATAATAAAGTTTGAAAATAAGTAATTGTGCATCAAAGCCAAGCAGAAATGAATTTTCATACCCCTGGGTCCCAAGAAAAGAATCTCAGGAATGATTTTTATTGCCAGGAGTAACTACTATGTTTAAATGGACAGTGAATTATCTTTTCATCTGTGCTGGTGATTTATGAAAGGAGCTATTCTTTTTCTTTTTAATTTGTTAATGTTTTATTTATTTCTGAGAGAGAGACAGCATGAGCAGGGGAGGGTATGAGAGAGAGAGAGGGAGATACCGAATCTGAAGCAGGCTCTAGGCTCTGAGCTAGCTGTCAGCACAGAGCCTGACGCAGGGCTTGAACCCATGAGCTGTGAGATCATGACCTGAGCCGAAGCCGGACGCTTAACCAACTGAGCTACCCAGGCACCCCTAAAAGGAGCTATTCTTATCTAACAGATACAGAGGCCTATATAGGGGCCATATGGATTTAAATACGGTTTGTGGACAAACTAAAATAGTAATAATCTTAAACATGAGTTTATCACCCCCTCCCTCCGCCCCCGAGTTAAACCAACTTTGGATGAAGAATGCAATAGATGAAAATAGAGTTCTGGTTTCCAAGAAACAGATTCACCCTTGCTTTTACTGCTACCGAACTTATCAAAGTTCATTTACCTGAGTGATCAGAATCAATGACATTAAAGATGATTTTCAGGTCAGATCGGTATCTGTACAGAGTTTCAATTAGAGTAGATTGAGCCTAAAATAAAGATGTTCTAAGTGTTAAAACACATAGAATTAATAACGGTAAGTTATTAATTAGTAAATGTTACGAATACAAAACATTATCACCAATTCAAAGCATGTGACTTAGATAGAAATTGAAGAAGGCAGGCCTTCCTTGGAGACCCAACCTTCTTTAATCAGAGATAGGACCATGCTCTTGTGTGAGAAAGCGTGTACAGTCTGCAGGGCCCATGCCAATCAGGACGCAGTGGACAGCAGCCAATATTTACTGAGAACAGCCGTGTGCAGGCTCTGCACTAAGAGCTTTCTCTGGGTTATTTCATCCAGTCCTCAACAAGAGCCCCAAAGAACAGAGTTATTATCATGTCCATTTTACAGATTAGAAAACAGAGAGGTAAAGTAAGTTTTGCAAGGTTCACATAGCTAGTGAATGGGATCTGATCTCAGCTGCCTGAAGCCAAGGCCCATGAGTTTGGGCACCGTGTAAACTGCCTCTTAAGTGAAGCCAAAGCGTCTTTTGTGTGGGTATTTAGTTCCCCACCTGCGCCTTGCTTTTCTTCTCTCTGCTCTTCTCATCTCCCCTGCAAATAGCTGCCCCAGTCTTACTTCCCATCAGCTCACTTTCAGCCCAGTGTTATAACTAATTGGCAAAGAGTTGTTAATAAATATGAGGCGGTGGTGTGGAGGGGGGTCCCTATAACTCTCCCTGGGGTATTCCCATTTTAATAGGAGATTTTAAATTTTACAAAAACTTAAGGCATAAGATGTCATGTCAGCAGGTCTATACCCTCACAGTTTAATAGGGACTCTGTTGAGGAGCTGAAGGGTGAGTTGTATGAAAGAGTGGGTGTCATATCTGGCCTTCTGCTGGATAGCCCATCAGAAAAGAATCATATGTGACGTGGATTTGCTTGCAGAAGCTTTTCCTTCTTGTTCCATTTTGCCTATCTTTAGAAAGCACGAATTTCCCAAACAGATCACAATGTACCCAGGAAAGCCTCCTTAGGCCTTCCCCAAGACTGATGCCCATCCGTTAGATGACTGATTCCACGCCCAACTTTTCAAGACGGAGTTCCTCTTACAGGTCATCCGAAGGGTGTTTCACTCCATCCAGGTTTCACTTGCCTCTTTCACAGGTTTCTGAATGTGGATATCCTGGAAGCTGGACATGTAGTTAATATTTCCATTTGTGTCTGTGGTGACCAGATGTGAACTCAGGGATCTCCATGGTAAGTTCAGCCCCAAAATGTTCTCCATGGAAAAAGCCCACTGGCTCATAGAAATTTTTCCTAAAAACAACAACATCAAGGCCCATATAATTGGTTGATGATTTGATAAAGAAATGCAACCTACTTGTCAGAGTCAGTGAGCAGCCTGGGGTTTTGAGGCCTGGGTGCTTCCTCCTCCCCCTTGTGATCTGTTCCACCAGGCCCCACGGCTCTGAGCGACAAATAAACTAAAGAAAGTCTCCGGCGCTCCACAGATCTTTCCCGTTCTGTTATGTGTAAGCAACCACACACTGGGTGCTCAATCTTTTTGTTCCTTTTTCTGATTAACAAAGTAAGGTGTATTTACAATAGACGATTTTAAAACACAAAAGGATATAAAGGATAAAAGATGACTTTCATTTTTCATATTTTGGCATGTAATTCACTTCTCATTTTCCAAGGTCCTATCCTTTCATCCCTCGATATTATATGTAGATTTTCAAAATGTAAATATCTTTATTTTTTCTGATTATTAAAGATATGCTCATTTGAAATGATTTTGAAGAAATAGAAAACAATGTTATTACTTCTGGTGTATACAAACATGGATATATATAAATATATCTATATTTTATCTTTCTTAGAGCAAAATATGCCTTGTAGTCTAGCAAATGTTTTATATACATGTATCTATGGCAACACACACAGCATACTTATTCTAATCTGAGTTTTTACTTACAAGAAATCATGGACATCCATCTGTGTTAAGAAACATAGAACTCTATCATTGTTTTAATGGCTATTAAACTCTTCCATTATCTCCTTAGGATCACTCCTATAAGTGGAATTACTGGATCAAAGGGTATGCACATTTTTAAGCCTTTTGACATATAATACCAAATTGCTTTTGACAAAAAAAATCCACTTACACTCCCATAAAACCACTCCCCACATACTTATCTGCCAAAGACATAATTCTTTTTATCTTTTTTAAAAGTTATTTTAATTCCAGCTAGCATACAGTGTAATATTAGTTTCAGGTGTACATATAGTGATTCAGCACTTCCATACATCACCCTGTGCTCACCCTAAGTGCACCCCTTAATCCCCGTCACCTATTTCATCCATCCCCCAGCCATCTCCCCTCTGGTAACCATCAGTTTGTTCTTTGTAGTTAAGAGTATGTTCTTGATGTGTCTCTTATTTTTTCCCTTGTTTTGTTTCTTAAATTTCACATATGAGTGAAATCATATGGTATTTGTCTTTCTCTGACTGACTTATTTCGTTTAGCGTAATACTCTAGCTCCATCCATGTCATTATAAATGGCAAGATTTCTTTTTTTATGGCTGAGTAATATTCCATTGTATATATATACCACATCTTATTTATCCATTCATTAACTGATGGACACTTGCATTGCTTCCATAGTTTGGCTATTATAAATAATACTCCCCTAAACATAGGGGTGCATGTATCCCTTTGAATTAGTGTTCTTGTATTCTTTGGGTAAATACCCAGTAGTGCGATTGCTGGAACTTAAGGTATTTCTACTTTCGACTTTTTGAAGAAATTCATTACTGTCGTCTACATTGGCTGCACCGATTTGCATTCCCACCAACAGTACATGAGTCTTCCCCTTTCTCCACATCCTCACCAATACCTGTTGTTACTTATGTTGTTGATTTTAGCTACACTGACAGGTGTGAGGTGATATCTCCTTGTGGTTTTGATTTGCATTTCCCTCATGGTAAGTGATGATGAACATCTTTTCAAGTGTCTGTTGGTCATAACTCTTTTTTTTAAATTAAAGTTCAACACATACAGAAAAATTCACAAAACAAATACAGAGCTCAGTGAATTATCACAAAGAGAATTCCTATGTAACCACCACCAAGGACAAGAAATACAACATTACCAAATCCATATGACTCCACTCATATGTGGAATTTAAGAAACAAAATAAACAAAGGGAAAAAGAGAAGCAAACCAAGAAACAGACTCTTAACTATAGAGAACGAACTGATAGTCACCAGAGGGAAGGTGGGCGGGTGGCTGGGTGAAACCAGTGATGGGGACTCATGAGGGCACTTGTCAGTGAGGGCACCAGATGATGGATGGAAGTGTTGAATCACTATATTGTACACCTGAAGCTAATGTTACACTTTTAATGAACTGGAATTTAAATAAAAACCCAAAGCTAAAAAAAAAAAGAAAAGAAAAAAGAAAGAACATCGCCAATTTCAAAAGGCCCCCTTGTGGCCTTTCACAATCACTACCACCTCCCACTTTGCTAAAGAGAGCCGCTATCTTGATTTCTAATACTATAATTTGCTTTTTGCCTTTTTTGATCTATATGTAAATGAAATCATGAAGTATATATTTTGGGGGAAGCCTGGCTTCTTTTGCTCAATACTAAGTTCATGAAATTCAGCCATGTTGCTCCATTTAGTTGTAGCATCTTCATTTTTGCAGCGTATAGTATTCCATGGTGTGAATATACACAACATATATCCATTCTACTGTTGGCGGACATTAGGTTATCTCCAGTTTGGGGCTACTACACACAGTGCTTCTAAGAACATTTCTCTACGCGCCCTTTTGGTGCATTGAACCTAGAGCTCAATTTGAAGAGAATTTATATCTTGACCACTTCAGCCCTTGCACATAGCAATACCAGTCCATTTATTTTAGTCTTTTAATTTCTCTTAATAATAGTTTAGAAATCTCATACATCATTAGGTTCGTTTCTACCAGCTATCAGTTTACACCTACTCTGCTCCAAATCTAACTTTCCTTGTCCTGTTTTGTGATACTGGAACTGAACCCTGTAAATAATTCTCTTTCGGCACCTGGTATAATGTCAAGAAGAGTACAGGAAGAATGCTCTAAGACACAGCAGAAGAAATACTTCTGGTATGCTCTCCTTCTTGCTTTTCCAGTATAGCATGGTTACCAGAGGTGTGTGGGAAATGCACTGGCACCCTCTCTCTAGTCAGTTTCACGGACACCACAGGAATGGCTTCCTTGCCAGGAGTGTGTGGGAGACACAGTGGTACACAGCCCAAAAAGGGTTTTGCTGGCACCCCAGTGGGTGGCTCCATCCACCATTCCGGGCTCAACAGCTACAAACCACCTTCGACATGAGACATCTCAGTGAACTTCCACCCCATCTAGTGGGCCACAGTCATTCTCTCTCCAATTAGGTCTGAATCTTAGCTTTGGTTGACAGTAGGCAACTCTTCCAAGTTTGTTCCTTCCTTGGGTTCACTTTCTTAGCCTTAGACATAGTAGCTGCGCCCCATAATTTCTATTCCTGTACTCTTTAACATTCTCTTTTAGCCATTTTAGTAATTAAATAGACTTTTACTAGTTAATAATTCTTTACATTAAATTTCCCAGTTCAAATTATTGCTGTTGGGACGCCTGGGTGGCTCAGACAATTGGGTGTCCGACTTCAGCTCAGGTCATGATCTCAGTTTGTGGGTTTAAGCTCAGTGTTGGGCTCTGTGCTGACAGCTCAGAGCCTGGAACCTGTTTCAGATTCTGTGTCTCTCTCTCTCTCTGCCCTTCCCTTGCTCATGGCTCTGTCTCTGTCTCTCAAAAATATATAAACATTAAAAAGAAAAATTAAAAACAAAAAACAAATTATTGCTGTGGTTTCTATCTCCTGAATGGACTCTGATTGATACACTAATATATGGAAATGCAATACATTTCTGTGTATTGACCTTGTGTTCTACAAGTTGTTAAATTCAGTTATTAAATCTAATAGTTTTTTTGTGTATTCAGGTTTTCTATATACTCAATTATGTTGTCTATACATGGTAACATTTTATTTCTTCCTTTGTAATTCTTATCATCTTATGTAATTTGCCTTAGCACAATGTTGAACCATATTGAGAGTAGGCATCTGTATTAGTCTTCTATTGCTGCTGTAACAAATTACCACAGACTTAGTGGCTTTAAAGGACACAAATTTATTCTCTTCTAGTTCTGGGGTCTAGGAGTCTAAAATCAGCTTTGCTGGGACAAGTCAAAGTGTCAGAAGGGCTGGTTCCTTTGAGAAACTCCAATGGGAGTATCTGTTTTTCTAGCCCTCTTCAGCTTCCTTGGCTTGGGGCACCTTCCTGAGTGTGTATCATTTTCAAGGTGTATCATTTCAATATCTTCTTCCATTATCACATCACCTTCTCCTGTGACTCTGACTCCTACATCCCTCTTACAAGGACCACTGTGATTATATCAATTCCACCTAGAAAATATATGATAGTCTCCCTAGTTCAAGATCATTATTTTTTTATTATTTTATTTGTAAGTAATTTCTATACCCAACATGGGGCTCCAACCCACAACCCTGAGGTCAAGAGTTGCGTGTTCCACTGACACGCAGACAGAGCCAGACAGATACCTCTGAAGATGATTCTTTTAATCACATCTGCAAAATCCCTTTTGGGATATAAGGTAACATTCAGAGATTCTGGGGATTAGGATGTAGACACATTGGGGAAAGGGAACTATTCAGTATCTTTCTCTCATCCCCAATCTTAGATGAAAAGATCTCAACATTATCCCATCAATTATGCTATTTTCTATAGGCTATGAAAGATATCCTTTATAAGATTAAGAAAAATTTGCTTCTGTTTTTAGTTTTCTAAGCATTTTCTAAAACCATGAAACCAAAGTAAAATACACCCAATAAGTTTTTCTTATTTTTAAAGAATTATGACTTAATTTTGTTAGATTGGTGAGTTACACTGATTAATTTCTGAATGTCAAATTAACCTGGAATTCCTAGTGTTTCTAGAATAAACCAAGTTGTTTTCTTTACATTAACCTTTTCCTAATATTTCATTTACAACTTTTTTCATCTAAATTTATGTCTGAGATTAGCCTTTAATTTTCCTTTTCCATAATGTTCTTATTAGGTTTCAGTATCAAGGTTATGCTGACCTCCTAAAATAATCTTCAAAGTGTTCCTTCTGTTTTTATTCTCTGGAAGAGTTTGTGTAAGACTCATTTTATTTTTTATTCTTTTTTTTTTTTTTTTTTTTAAGTAGGCTTCATGCCTAACACAGGGCCCAATGCAGGGCTTGAACTCTAGAACCCTCAGATCAAGACCCAACCTGAGATCAAGAGTCAGATGCTTAACTGAGTCACCCAGGTGCCTCTAGACTGGTTTTATTCTTTTTTTAAAAAAAATTGTTTTAATGTATATGTATTTTTGAGAGAGACAGAGTATGAGTGGAAGAGGTACAGGGAAAGGGAGACACAGAATCTGAAACAGGCTCCAGGCTCTGAGCTGTCAGTACAGAGCCCGATGTGAGGCTCGAACCCACAGACCCCCAGATCATGACCTGAGCTAAAGTTGGGCGCTTAACCTACTGAGCCTCCCAGGTGCCCCTAGACTGGTTTTATTCTTAAATGTATATTTTAATGGCTAATGAAGCTCAGGGCCTTCCTTGTGGAAAGTATCAAAATTTCAGATCCTATTTCTTCAACAGTTATAGAATTGTTCAGGTTTTCAATTTCTTTTTGTGTCAGTTGTGGTAAGTGTGTATGTGTGTGTGTGTGTGTGTACATATGTATTTTTGAATTTGTCCATTTAATCTAAAGTATGAATTCATTAGCATAAGAGTTTCCATAATACATCTTATGAGCTTTTTAATATCTGTAAAGTCTGTATGTACTAAATCTCCCCTTTCAATTCTGGCATTGGTTATTTCTCTGTCTCTTTACCTGGGTTTTATCAACTTACCAGTTTCTTCAAATAACCTTTTTTTTTTTTTACTTTGTTGATCAGAGTTTCATCTTTTAAAATACATGCATTTTCAATTCTTCTCTAACTTGTATCTTATATGTTGCATTTTCATTATCTTTCAGTTGCAGAATTCTAATTTCCACTGTGATTTCTCCTTTGATCCAAGGGTTATTTAGAAGTATATTTCTCATTTCCAAGCCCAAGGGGGATTTTCTGGCTACCTTCTGTCATTGAGTGATAGCTCAATTCACTACGACAGAAAATTTGCTCTGTATGTTTCCAATACAAAATTTGTTGAGATTTGTTTTATGTTCCAGGTTATAGTCAATTTTTGTAAGTGTTCCACATGTGCTTGACAAGAATGTGTATTCTGTGATGTTGAGCAGGGTTCTATATATGTCTTTTAGGGAAACTCTGCTAATCTTTTTTTTTTTTTTTGATGTTTTATTTATTTCTAGGAGAGAGAGAGAGACAGTGTGAGCAGGGGAGGGTCAGAGAGAGAGTGAGTCACAGACTGAAACAGGCTCCAGGCTCTGAGCTGGCAGTCAGCACAGAGCCCGACGCGGGGCTCGAACCCACAAACTGCGAGATCATGACCTAAGCGAAAGTCGGACGCTTAACTGACTAAGCCACCCAGGCGCCCCTCTGCTAATCTTTTTGTCAGTTCATTATTTTGGTTTAAGGAGTATTAGAATCACCCACTACAATGGTAGATTTTTCTACTTCTACTTGTTCTGTCCATTTTTGTTTTACATATTTTTGAGGCTATATTATTAGGTACATACACATTTAGAATGGATTCAATTGGCAAACTGAATAGTATATCATTATAAAGTGTCCCTTGTTATTTCTAGTAATGTAGATTTCCTTGAAGTCTACTTTGTCTAATATTAATAGAGCTATTCCAACCTCAGTTTTGTTAGAGTTTTCATGTTATATCTTTTTCTGAATTTTATTTTCAATGTTTTGTATATATTATTCCACTATCGGCTTCTGTTGAGACTGTTGAGAAGTCTGATATCAGTCTAATTGTTTTCGCTTTGTAGCAATGTGTACTTATCCCTGTTTGCTTTTAGGACATTTTTCTCTGCTATTGGTGCTCTGTGGTTTCTCCACAAGGGTGTATAGGTGTGGATTTAACTTTTTTTTTTATCCTCTTTGAGAAACATTGTACCTCTCTACCTGTGAATTTGTGTTGCTCATCAGTTCTGGGAAAGTCTCATCCATTATCATGTCAAATACATCCTCTCTTACATTCTCTCCTCCTGGGACCCTGAGAAGATGTATGTTAAACTTTATTTTACTGTCCTTTAGTCTTACCCTTTCTAATTCTGTCTTCAGCAGTGTCTAATCTTCTGTTTAACCCATTCATTATGGTTTTTTTTTAAACAAGTATATTTTTTATATCTATTTGGTTCTTCTTCAAATCATTTTTTAAATGAATGTCTGTGATTCCACCTTTTATTTATTTAAACATTTCTCAGTTATTTTTATTTGTATTTGGTAATTCCAATCTCTGATATCTTTAGGGACTGAAATCTGTCGTCATTTCTGTTGACTCTTACTGTAGCTTGTCTCCATCTTTGTTTCATGATCTTCGGTTATGAACTCACGGTTGATCTTAATCTCTGCATATATTAGTGGCCAAAATTAGGGATGCATCGGTGGAACATGGATTTGCATTTGCTTGCCAAGAGTCAAGGGGCACTACAAAAATAGGCCTACTTTAGCCACTTTGAGGTTCCAGGCTTAATGTGGAAGTCTCAGATTTGGCTTATCCATCTTTCTATTATCCTTTGGTCTAGTCTCAGGATTGAGGACAACACCAAAATTAGCATTTGCCCCCAGGACAATCTAGCATTTTGTGCTAGTTTGCTGCTCCATGCTGGTTTCAAAAAAACCTTTCATAAGAGAAAAATGTTTCCTAGATACTTATCTTACTGTGAGGCTAGTAGATGCATTACAATTCTGTATCCTCTAGAATCTAGCTGTTTCTTAACAGGAGAGCCTTCCAGAGTGTCTAGTCTGAGCCACTGCCAGAATAGAAGGCTTGCTGTTGTTTTAAGTTGAAAGAAACTTACTGCAAAAGAGTGATATGGCTTTTTTCAGGTACATAATGGATTATATTTTATTTTTATCTCTATCTTTCCTTGCTAGTAAAAGTAGATAAATCTTAAGAGAAATCTTAAGGAAGCAAAAAAAAAAAAAAAAAAAAGAAAACTGATTTGTACGTAAGCTGGTATGTTAAGAAACAGTAAGCATTACATAATTTTATTACCTGATTTAGTGCGGTCTTGAAGGTGGAAAGCATTAATGAGGTCAGTTTTTCGTGAAATTATTCTCTCTCTTAATATCCTGATGGCACTACTTTCAATAGCATTCACCCTATGTTAACAAAACAATTATTAGGTGAAAGATACAGAGATCATCATGTTTTGTCTTGTTTTAATGTGCTATGTTACCACTTACCAGTATCTACTTCAAATGAATTGTCTAACTTCAGACATAGCATGTTACTAAATGGTCAGTGTTTGTATATGTATGTATGTGTCTGCATATATTGTGGAATTTTAAAAGGATTACCACTGGTGTTTTCTTTACGATTTCACAGATTTACATGAGCAATTAATATCTGAGCATATCCAAGATAATTCTGAAAAACAAGAAAATTAAGAGGGACTCGCTATAGCAGACTTTAATATTTACTGTGAAGTTGCTGAAACCTAATAGCAAGTATTGACACAGGAGAAGACAGATACATGAGCGGAACATAATAGAAATTGCATAAACATACTGAACTATATATGGAACAATACATATGACAAAGGAGGTATTACAATTCAGTAGAAAAGAGTACATTTTTTTTAACATGTTGCTAGCATAGTTATCCGTCTGGATGCTAAACCACCTCAGACCATTTACAAAATAAATTCTAAATAAAGGAGGAACAGAGGAACAAAGTAACTAAGAGTCATATACTCCCCTCCCCACAAAAAGCAAAATGGCCAAGGTAAATAAAACCATATCAATAATAGCATCATATGTGAATAGATTTTTAAACATCAAAAAGCAGAGACTATGAGACTGGATTTCTTTTTTTAAAAAAAGACCCAACTATGTTTTCTATAGGAGATATACTTTAGTTTCAAAGATACAAAGAGCTTGAAAGAACAACAACATAAAGATGTAGTATGCAAACATCAACCATAAGAGAGTTAGAATAGCTATACTAACGGAAGACAGAATACACCTGAAGACAAAATCCGTTACTAGAGATAAAGAGGAATATTTTATAATGATAAAAGAGTCAATCAGTCAAGAAGATAAAACAATTGTAAACATATATGAAACTAACAATAGAGCCCAAACCTATATGAAGCAAAACTAGACAGAATTGAAGGGAGAAATAGATGATAATAATAATAGTTGGATACTTCAATATTCTACTTCCAATAATAGAACAAGGAGGCAGAAAATGAAAAAGGATATAAAAGACTTGAACAGAGGGGCACATGGTAGCTCAGCTGGCTAAGCATCTGACTCTTGATTTCAGCTCAGGTCATGATCTTACAGTTTGTGAGATCCAGCCACATGGGGGGCTCTGTGCTAACAGCTTAGAGCCTGCTTGGGATTCTCTCTCTCCTTCTCTCTGCTCCTCCTCTGCTCATGGTTTCTCTCTCTCTCTCTCTCTCAAAATAAATAAATACACTTTTAAAAAATTTTTTAAATTTAAAGCCTTGAAAAACACTATAAACCAACTAAATTTACTTTTTTTAAATGTTTATTTAATTTTAAGAGACAGAGACAGAGTATGAGGTGGGAGGGGCAGAGAGAGAGGGAGACACAGAGTTTGAAGCAGCCTCCAGGATCCAAGCTGTCAGCACAGAGCCTGACACGGGGCTTGAACCCACAAACCGCGAGATCGTGACCTGAGCTGAGGTCAGAAGCTTAATTGACTGAGCCACCCAGGTACCCCTAAACCAATGAAATTTAACAGATATGTATATAACACTCTACCCAACAACAGCAGAATATACATTTTTCTAAACCACATAGGGAACATTCTCCATTATAGATCCTCTGCTAGGCCAAAATATGTCTCAATATATTTAACATGATTAAAATCATACAAAGTATCTTTTCTAACTACAAAAGGAATAAATTAGAGTTTAATAACAAAGAAATTTGGGGGACTCACAAATATGAGGAAACTAAACAACACCATCCTAAGTAACCAAGACGTCAAAGAAGAAATCACCAGAGAAATTAAGACATGTTTTAAAATAAATGAAGATTAAAACACAACATGCCAAAACATATGAGACACACTAAACCAGTGCTTAGAGGAAAATTTGTAGCTCTAAATGCTTCTATTAAAAAAGAAGATCTTGAATCAATAACCTAATCTCTACCTTCAGACACTAGACAAAAGAAGAGCAAAGTAACCCCAAAGCAAGCAGAAGGACAGAAAGAATAAAGAGGAGGGGAAACTACAGGCATACATGTTTTACCAGGATTCACTTCATTGCACTTCACAGGTATTTTTTATATATTGAAGGTTCGTGGCAACCCTGCATCAAGCAAGTCTATTAGCAAAATTTTTCAAATAACATTCGCTCACTTCGTGTCTCTGTGTCATATTTTGGTAATTCACACAATATTTCAGACCTTCTCATTATTATAGTATTTGTTATGTTGATCTCTGATGTTAGTATTGTCATTTTGTTTTGGGGGCCACAAACCCTGCCCATACTTAATTGATAAATACAGTGTGCGTTCTAACTTCTCCACGGGCCAGCCATTCTCATCTCTCTCTCTCTCTCCTTGAGCTTCCCTATTCCCTGAGACACACTGAAATTTGACCAGTTAATAACCCCACAATGCCAAATGTTCAAGTGAAGAGTCACGTGTCTCTCACTTTATTTTTAAAAGTTTATTTATTTATTGTTCTTTAGTAATCTCTACACCCAGTGTGGGGCTCAAATTCACAACCCCGAGGTCAAGAGTCACAGGCTCTTACAACTCAGTCAGCCAGGCGCCCCTCTCACATTAAACCAAAAGCTAAAAATGATTAAGCTTAGTGAGGAAGGCACAGTGAAAGCCCAGAGAGGCTGAAAACCAAGCCTTTTGTGCCAAACAGTAAGCCAAGTTGTGAATGCAAAGAAAAATTTTTTGAAAGAAATTAAAAGTGCGACTCCAATAAACACAAAAGATAAGAAAGTGAAACATTCTTATTGCTGATATGGAGAAAGTCTGAGTCGTCTGGATAGAAGATCAAACCAGCTCAGAGGCACCTGGGTGGCTCAGTCGGTTAAGTATCTGACTCTTTTAAATTACCAAAAAAAAAAAAAATTATTTTAAGTTTATTTATTTATTTATTTAGAGAGAAACAGAGACAGCATGAATGGGGAGGGGCAGAGAGAGAGGGAGAAGAGAGAGAATCCCAAGCAAGATCCTTACCATCAGCACAGAGCCCAACACACGGCTTAAACTCATGAAACCGTGAGATCATGACCTGAGCTGAAACCGAGAGTCAGATGTTTAACTGACTGAGCCACCCGGGTGTCCCAAGTGTCCAACTCTTAATCTCAGCTCAGGTCTGGATCTCAGAGTTGTGAGTTCAAACCCTGCATTGGGCTCCACACTGGACATGAAGCCAACTTAAAAAAAAAAAAAATCAAACCAGCCACAATAATGGTTTAGTCCAAAGCCTAATCCAGAGCAAAGCCCTAAATCTCAATTCTAAGAAGGCTGAGAAAGGTAAGGAAGCTGTGGAGGAAAAGTTTGAAGCTAGCAGGGGTTGGCTCATGAGGTTTAAGGAAAAGAATCCATCTCTATAACATCAAAGGACAAGGTGAAGCAGCAAGTGCTGATATAGAAACTGTAGCAAGTTTTCCAGAAAATGTAGCTAAAATAAATAACAGAGGTGGCTCTACTAAACAACAGATTCTCAGTGCAGATGCAACAGCCTTCTGCTGGAAGAAGATACCATCTAGGACTTCCAGAGCTGGAGAGGAGAAGTCAGTGCCTGGCTTCGAAAATCTAAAGCCAGGCCAACTCTCTTGTGAGGGGCTAATGCAGCTGGAGACTTCAAGTTGAAGGCAATGTTTATTTACCATTCTGAAAATCCTAGGGCCCATAAGAATTATGCATAATCCTCTCTGCCTGTGCTCTATACATGCAACAACAAAGCCTGGAAGACAACACACCTGTTTACAACATGGTTTACTGAATGTTTTAAGCCCAATGTTGAGACCCCCTGCTCAGAAAAAAGGATTACTTTCAAAATATGACTGCTCAGTGATAAGACGTCTGGTCGCCCAAGAGCTCTGATGGAGACGGACAATGAGGTTAACATTGTTTTTGTGGCTGCTAACACAACATCCATTCTGCAGTCCGTGGATCAAGGAGAAATTTAGACTTGCAAGTCTTATTATTTTGGAAATATATTTTGTAAGGCTATAGCTGCCATAGATAGTGATTCCTCTGACTGATCTGGGAAAAGTAACTCGAAAACCTGAAAAGGATTTGCCACCTTAGATGCCAATAAGAACACTCATGATTCACAGGGAAAGGTCAAAGAGTAACATTAACAGGAATCTGGAAGAGGTTGATTCCAACCCTTATGGATGACTTTGAGGGGTTCAAGACTTCCGTGAAAGAAGTAATTGCAGACATGGTGGAAATGGCAGAACTAGAATTACAAATGGAGACTGAGGATGTGCCTGAACTGCTACAATCTCGTGATGGTGAGAAACTCCAATTTTGAAAGAAGTTACTATGGATTAAATGCTGTCAAACAGCATCACATGCTACAGAGAAATCATTCGTAAAAGGAAGAATCAATCAGTTCAGCAAACTGCATTGTTGTCTTATTTTAAGAAATGACCACAGCCCCCCTCTAACCTTCAGCAACCACTACCCTGATCAGTGCGCAGCCATCAACAATGAGGCAAGGTCCTCCACCAGCAAAAACACTATAACTTGCTGAAAGCTCAGAAGATGGTTAGCAATTCTTTTAGCAGTAGAGTATTTTTAAGGTATGTACATTGTTTTTTAGACATGCTATTGCATGCATAACAGACTACAGTGTAATGTAAACATAACTTTTATATGCACTGGGAAACCAAAAAATTCTCCTGACTTGCTTTATTGTAACATTTGCTTTCCCATGGTGGTCTGAAACTGAATCTGCTATATCTCTGAGATATGCCTGTAAATGAACTAGAAAATAAAAAAACAATAGAGAAAATTAACGAAGTCAAAAATTGGTTCTTTGAAAACATCAATAAAATTGACAGTACTTTAGCTAGACTGGCCAAGGAAAAAAAAAGAAGACTCAAATTTCTAAAATCAGGAATGAAAGAGGGGCCATCACAACTGACCTCACAGAAATAAAAGATTATAAGGGAATATTACAAACAATTGTACACCAACCAACTAGATAACCCAGATGAAATGGACAAATTCCTGTAAGGGATACAAACTACCAAAACTGAGAAGAAATAGAAAAATTGAACATACCTGGAACAAATAAAAAAAATTGAGTAAGTAATCAAACAACTTCTCACAAAGAAAAGTGCAGGGCCAGATGGCTTCACTGGTGAATTCTACCAAACATTGAAAGAAGAATTATTCTTTAAATTCTTCATTCTCAAACTCTTCCCAAAATATAGAAGAGGTGGTAATACTACCCATCTTTTTATATGAAGCAAGTTTTAGCCTGATACCCAAACCAGGCAAATATCGCAAGAAAACTACATATCACTATAACATCTCTTAAGAATATACATTGAGGGGCATCTGGCTGGCTCAGTCGGTAGATCATGTGACTCTTTTTTTTTTTTTTATTTATTTTTGAGAGACAGAGAGCATGAATGGGAGAGGAGCAGAGAGAGAGGGAGACACAGAATCTGAAGCAGGCTCCAGGCTCTGAGCCTGATGCGGGGCTCGAACCCACGGACCATGAGATCATGATCTGGGCCGAAGTCAGATGCCCAACTGACTGAGCCACTCAGGCGCCCCGATCATATGACTCTTGATCTCAGGGTTGTGAATTGGAGCTCCATGCTCGGCACAGAGTTTACTTTTAGACATTTTTTTAATTGAAAGAAAAATGAATATAGATGAAAAATCCTTAACAAAATACTAGCAAACTGCATTCAGCAATATATAAAAAGGATTATATACCATGAACAAGTGGGATTTATCCCAGGAATGCAAGGTGTGTTTGACATCTGAATATGAATAAATGTAACATGCCATGTTAATAAAATAAAGAACAAAAACCACATGATCATCTCAGTAGATACAGAGAAAGTATTTGACAAACTCCAAACACTCTCTCATGATAAAACCCCTCAACAAAGTAGGCATAAGAGGGAACTTCCTCACCCAGATGTGGGGCATCTATGTAAAACACACAGCTGATATACTTAATGATGGAAGACTGAATGTGTCCCTCTTAAGATGAGGAACAAAGCAGGGATGTCTGCCCTCACCACTTTTAGTCAACATTAGTTGTAAGCCAAAACAATCTTGAAAAAGCAAAGCAAATCTGGAGGCATCACAATTCGAGACTTCAAGTTATATTACAAAGCTGCAGTCATCAAAAACAGTATGGCACTGGCACACAGATCAACAGAACAGAATAGAAAACCCAGAAATAAACCCACGATTATATGGTCAATTAATCTTTGACAAAGCAGGAAAGAATACCCAATGGGAAAAAGAGAGTCTCTTTAACATATGGTGTTAGGAAAACTGGACAAGCTACATGCAGAAGAATGAAACTGGCCACTTTCTTACACCATACACAAAATAAATTCAAAAAGGATTAGAGACCTAAATGTGAGACCCGAAACCGTAAAAAATCCCAGAGAAGGGCACAGGCAGTAATCTCTCTGGAATTGGCCCTAGCAACTATTTTCTAGATAGATCCCCTGAGGCAAGAGAAACAAAAGCAAAAATAAACTACTGGAACTACATCAAACTAAAGAGTTTCTGCACAGCAAAGGAACAAAACTAAAAGGCAACTTACAGAATAGGAGAAGATATTTGCAAATGACATATCCAATAAAGGGTTAGTATCCAAAAATATATCAAGAACTTCTAAAACTCAACACCCAGAAAACAAATAATCCAATTTAAAAATAGGTTGAAGAGGGGCGCCTGGGTGGCTTAGTCGGTTAAGCGTCCGACTTTCGCTTGGGTCATGATCTCGCGGTTTGTGGGTTCGAGCCCCGCGTCGGGCTCTGTGCTGACTGCCAGCTCAGAGCCTGGAGCCTGTTTCAGAGTCTGTGTCTCCCTCTCTCTCTGACCCTCCCCTGCTCACACTGTCTCTCTCTCTCTCCTAGAAATAAATAAAAATATTAAAAAAAAATAGGTTGAAGACATGAACAGAAATTTTTCCAAGAAGACATAGAGATGGCCAAAAGATACATGAAAAGATGATCATCATCACTTACCATCAGGGAAATGCAAATCAAAACTACAATGAGATACCACCTCACACCTATCAGAATGGCTAAAATCAACAACACAAAAACACCAGGTGTTGGTGAGGATGTGGAGAAAGGCGAACACTCATGCCCTGTGGTGGGAATGCAAACTAGTGCCATATATATATATACACACACACACACACACACACACATACACACACACACATACACACACACACACTGGAATATTATTCAACCATAAAAAAGAATGAAATCTTGCCAGTTGCAATGACATGGATGGAGCTAGAGAGGATAATGCTAAGTGAAATAGGTCAGAGAAAGACAGATAAATTATTTCACTCATATGTGAGATTTAAGAAACAAAACAAGCGGGCAAAGAAAAAAAAAGAAAGACAAACCAAGAACTAGACTGTTAATGAGAGACAACAAACTGATCATTACCAGAGAGGAGGAAGGCTGAGGGGGGGCATGGAGGAAACAGGGATTGGGGGTCCAGGAGTACACTTGTTACAATGAGCACTAAGTGATGTATGGAATTGTTGAATCACCATACTGTACACTTGAAGCTAATGTAACACTGTATGTTCAATATACAAGAATTAAAAATGTAAAAAGTGTTTTTAATTAAAAAAAAGAAAATGTGGTCTATCCATGTAATGGAATATTATTCAGCCATCCAAAGGAATGAAATACTCATGCATGTTACAACACGAATGAACCTCAAAACCATTGTGTTGAGTGAAAGAAGCCAGTCACATACTGTGTGATTCCATTTACATGAAATGTCCACACAGGTAAAGGCATAGAGACAGAAAGTGGATTACTGGCTGCCTAGAGTTGTTGATGGGGGAGGTGACTGGTGAGAGACTGCTAATGGGTACAAGTGGTCTTTTTAGGATGGCAAAAATGTTTAAAAACTAGATTATGGTGATGGTTGCATAGCTCTGTAACTATTTGTTGTATCTGTGAGTTGTATATTTTAAATTGGTCAACTTCAGTGTATGTGAATTATGTCTCAACAAAGCTGTTAAAATAAATTAGTTTGAGATTAACTTACTGATATAACACAATAAAATAAAAACTTGGTGTAGAGACATTTTTCTAACAGACGAAAACCCAAAAGATATAATGAAACTATATGTATAAATGTGATTTCATAGAACTAAAGCAAAATGAAGACACCAACAAAATATATGCAACATAACTGTAAAAATCCTCTATCCAGCATATGCAAAGAACTCGTAAAAATTGATCAGAAAATAACAAGCAACCCAGTATAAAATGAGGGAATAATATAAGTAGGAAATTCAAAGAAGAGAAAAATGCAATGGCCAGAAACATAAGATGGGTAAACTCAGCTGTCTAAAAAGTTGCTAATTAAAACAATGAGATTTACCATTTTGATCCATTGGCTTCGCAAAACTTTAGAAGTGTGGCAATATCTAAGACTAATAAGCATGTGCAAAAACTGGTATGTTGTTTTTCATATTGTTAATTGTTGTAAGTCTTTTGGAGTATCCAGCAAAATCGTAAATATATAAATCCATAAATACCCCATTTTGAAATGTTACGTAAAAACCCCCACTAACTTATGGCTGTATGTATGCATGTCGACGTACACACGTCGTGTGTTTGTTATACCATTGTTTTTAAGTGCAAAACCCTGGAAGCAACCTAGATGGCCGTCAGTTGAATAAAATTCAGTCTCTCCATAACTATTATGGCACATCTACTAAAAGGAATGAGTTAGGACTATATGTCCCAACTTGGAGTGGTGGTGATGATGTAACCTTTGCCGAAAAAGTCGGTTGTAGAAGGTGCAGTGTGATTCTATCTTTGTAAAAAAAATTTTTTTAAATATGTACATTGCTGACTGCCTTTCTTCTCCCCTGGGGATCTGTATTTGATGAGGAAAAGGATTTTTGCCTATTTTGTTCACCGCTGTATCACTTGTGCCTAGAACAGCGTGTGACGTATATAGTAGGTGCCGAAAAAAATTTTTATTCGATGAATATAAAGGTCTGTCTATTTTTGTGGGAGCAAGAAGAGATGGAAGGGTCCACTCCAGGCTATCAAGTTCAGTTGCATCTGCAGAAAAGGATTATTGAGAATGAGAGGGAGAGAAGATGATTAGCATTTCCTGTATATATCTTTGTTTGGTCTCACTTGTTAACAATGAACGTACGCATTTTATAATGAGGGCTACTTGAGGAGGCCATGTTAAATGGATAAAAGGTAGATAAACTATGGATGCCATCACATGGAGAGATACCCAACTCTTGTCATGTGCACTTGTGAGTAGAGATGGGACCAAGAGGCAAGAGCACACAGGGCTGTTCGGGGGACGGAGAAGACTGTAGGGTGCGGGACTGGCTGGATTTGGGGACCGCCTTTTCTTTACATCCAGTTAGAGGCTGTTCGTGGACACTGGTTGCCTTACCCATTTAAAATGGATTGAAAATTGCCCCTCTTGGTTTCAAATATGAATGTATTCACCACTGGGTGTCTGCAATGAATTCTATTTTGTTTATACCCGTGAGTAACCAATAAGTAGTTGCCTTCACTCCTGTGGCAGCTCTTAGAGACTCTGGCCTGGCTCCACTCGGTCACCAGCACCAGCGCTCAGAATTCTCTTTAGCACATACGCACCTTTGGTAAAGAGGCCTCAAGCATGTTGTCCTCGTTACTTGGTACTGGTAGAATCGAGGGTTCGTATCAGAAGACAGTTTGATGTAAGCGCCTCGATTGCTGCCTTCTTCATAGTAATTAGAAGCAGAAAATACAGTAACAACCTAATAAAAGCAAAAGAGGGCCAGGGTCACATTGAGTTAGTTCTCAAAAAGTCTTTCAGTAAAGTCAGAAATAGCTCAACTCCTAAAATGGCAAAAATCAAAGGTCCAGACCCATACACGCGGTCCAAGTCTGACAAGATTTTCTGTGGTTCCACGGGAGAGGCAACGTGTCCCCAGGAGTACCGACTTCCAGCCACTCGACCCTGTGGCGCCTGGCCTGGCAATCCTGTGTACGATTTCAGTCCCGCACGTTACAATCCTACTTCATGCTCGGCTTTGCAAATTCGAATTTTCCAAGCGGGTAAAGCCTTTGTTTTCTGTCCTTGTGATATTTGAGCATTCAAAATAAAACTTGTCTAGTATCAGTCTGATTTAGAGGGCTTAGGGCCCCCACAAAACTCGTCATGTAAGGGCAGGGAAAATAGTGGCCAGAATAAGGGCCCGGGACCACCATGTAGGGAAGGGACCAGCCTCAGGCCCTGGTGGAGGATGGCAAGGTAATACTTGTTGGTGACAGGAAACCTGGCTTGGGCCCAGTTCTGCCCCAATCGGCATGCTACTTGACAGGCTGTCTTCTGTTTTCATAGTACAAAGAAACCTTACATAATACTTGCCTCAACTATCTCACGACATTAGTATGAGCCTGAAATGAATGAATACAGTTAAGAAAAGCAAAGTTTTGAAATAGAAAAAAATGCCGCACAATTTGGTATTCCATTTGATTCAGTCCTGTTCTCTCCTAGAAAAGGGACAACTTGTGAGAGGAAACCAGTTCCTCAGCGCTCGCCTCTTCCAGCCTTACCAGACGGCCCTGAGGGAACCCAACACGCCCCACACTGGTGGCTGCAGCTGCAGCAGGGCCAGGAGAGAGACTTGCTGGAGCTGGCCCCCAGGGCGAAGACAAGGGGGGTGAATTTGTGGCTCCGCCCCGCACAGGGAAAGCACAAAAGGAGAAGGGGAGCAAACTGGATTCAGGGCTGCCTTTGCTGTGCTCTGTGAGGATAAGTACACTCTCAACGCCCCTGGGCTGGAAAGCTGCCTTTTGGTGAAAAAAGTATGAAGCCTTTCTGTGTGTGTACTTAGAGCTACGTGTCAGAATTTCTATCTCTGGGATTAGGGAAGAGCAGGGAAATGAGCCAACTATCTCTGAGGGTGGGGCAGGGCGAGGCCCCTTCACACAACCCGTGTGAACCCTGTCGTCTCCTTCCGTCTCCCAAAGCACGGCATGTTTATGGCCCTGGGAAGACACCTTCCCATGGGCCTCTAGGTCACACACATCCTGTGAAGAAAGACTGGGGCGAGGATACCTGTGATGACATCATCAACATGTTAGCTTACCTTCCCATCATGGCAGATTTCATACCCTTCGGGCTTACATTCATGAGACCTAATGAGCATCTTCAACTGGAATCTATTAAGAACCTTGGAGGTAATATCTGGTCCAAAGTAGCAGCCCCCTCCTCGACTTGTGTTTGGGTAGCAGCCTCTTTTGCCTCTGGGGTCGCTCCACAGAATATCGATAATCTTTGAACAACAAAGCAGATTAGGCTGTCATTTACAAGTGAGACTCTATCTTTGTAGATTTCAACTTATGTGTCAGAAATATGAACCCAAGTTATCCCAAAGTCTAACTATTTCTCATTCCTCCTTCAAACTTGTTTCATATTCCTCTCCTCCATGAATCTTTCTTCCAATAATTACAATGCCCACAGCCACCACAATCCCTTTCTACTCATCGCCAACGACTAATGTAGCAATAACAATAACCAATGCATCAATACTCCGTGGTCATGAAGAATCAGCCCTTGCCTTTGTTTGTGTCTTGAAAAATCTCATCATGATTGTTTCACAATTGCTGAATCTACCAAGTCACAATTCTTACATGGGACGTGAGTTCTCTTAAAAGAACGTCATCGTCATGTTCCAAGCAGAAAGCAGCTCTCCACAACGAACACACATTAGATGTTCTTTTTTTTTTTTTATATTTGTTTATTTTTGAGAGAGAGGGAGAGAGAGAGAATCCCAAGCAGACTCTGCACTGACAGTAGGGAGCGGGGCTCACATCCACAAACCATGAGATCACGACCTGAGCTGAAATCAAGAGTCGGACACTTAACCGCCTGAGCCACCAAGGCGGCCCCACGTTAGATATTCTGAATATGTTCCAAGAGATAATTAGTTCTCCCAACTGTGTCTTTGGCCCTGGCTTTTGTCCTTTTGAGCAGATCACATGAGGAAGCCTTTTTCTTATCACAAATATAGATAAGAGTTCATCCAAGAACACTTCCCTAAATCACCTCCTTTACTTTTTGGCCCATTGATAAGAGCATTCTCAGTCTTAGCAATAAATTCAGCCACTGACTGGTTTCCACAATGTGTCCTAAATCCACAGGTATTTCATTAGCATAACATTTCCTTTTGGGGCTGAAAGAGGTAAATGCAGCCTACCTGATGCCCAAGACAGAAGATCCAAGTTTCTAAGAATATTTTTCATGGCTCTGATCTACGTATAATGTTTCTTTATTTAAGCTCCTATAGGAGCTTCAGCAGCAGTGAGAAAAAAATAGCTTTGTCACTGAAGCTGTGCCGTTTTGAGAAAACTCTGGGTCTCAGTTTCTAGATCTTTAAAATCAGGGGTTTGGGACAGATGACTTGTAAAGTAACTCAAAGTTCTAACACACTACGAGCCTAAGAGTCTATATTTTCCACATTTCTGTTTTGTGGGCATGAAGAACCGTGCATCTTCAGTTCTACAGCTGTTCAAGCAGTCCAAGTGAGGACTTGACAAGAGAACCAGAAATGGTTGTCCTGGTCAACTTGACTGTACACCCTTTCATAGGTTTGGTATTGAAGGGGAGCCCGAAATAAGCGAGGAAAAAGACAGTGAGGGGGAGAGAAAAATGAACCGGTAGGAGAACTCTGGAATGATCAGCGCCTGGTCGGAATTTGTGGAAACCCTCCATCAGGCACAAACTGGACACTTGCCAAGTTTTTGATGATTGACTGACGTGAAAGTTAAAACCACCCAAAGAAGATGCAGACCAGGATTCTCCTCTCTCCCCCACTGAATGCCAACAGTGGCACAATCCTGCCCTACAAGTAAATACAATGGAGCCCACCGACTTTGCTGGTGTTTAGGACGAAACTAATACTTGCGTTGTTGCATCTGGCTCTTACACCATGAATTCACGTTTGGGGGTCCTGATTTGACCTTTAGTATAATGAAGGCAGAAACATGGAACACAAGGGACTGTGCTTTTATAAGGAGGGGATTAAGTTTTAAATTCTTACATGAGATGCAAGCCATTTAGAGCTAAAATTACCCCCGGGAAACCTCTTAAATTATCCTTAAAGCACAATATACACGATTTTGTATATGCAAGCCTATACAATAATATGGATGTGTGAATATTTTATATGTGTAATAATGTATAATGTGATAGATAACATTTATGAAAATAAAATTGTATATGCCTTTCTCCTTTTTGCCATATATATATATATATATATATATATAGTTAAAATTTGCAGAAGTTACATGTATATATAATGAACTCTGTTGAATTAGAAGAAGCACTGGCCAAGGAGTTCTACAAGTGTCACTTGAGGCAAATCATTTAACCTATCTGAACTTTAGTTGCCTCATCAATGAAAAGAGAAAGATATATCGAACATTCATTTTTCTTTGACTCAAAGTCAAAGGGGTGTGAGTTTTACAGAAATGAATTTCTTCAGAATCATCCGTTCCAGGAATTTGCATTTCTTTTTTTGGTCTAGAATTCATTCACTTGACTAGGTTTACCCAGACGGTGACTATAACATAGATTTGATTCTAAACCTCCCACCCACAAAAGGGGCCCCATAATGGACCGTTCGTGGGTGAAACAAATTCCTCAGAAGAGACTGTCTCTTTCCTTCCAACAACATCCTCTCCTCTGAAGTGCAAGGGCCTTGTGAGTGATAAGTGCATGAAAGAATAGTTGTTTACAACATTCCTTCCTGAAAATGTTCAAACCAAAAATTGGAAAAGTTTTACTGAATGACAGCTTGTAAATGACCTGGTCAACAAAAATCCATTCGTGCTTCAGCCTTTAAACCTCCTGAATCCAAAATAAACCCAGCAAGAAATGCGCTGTGCTTGTCTGCAGCCCTAAATTATCCAGTTTCCAAAAGCACGCATTGGGGTAGAGTTAATAGCTGTGAAAGGTGTATCTACATGCTTCTCTTCTAAGACACTGATGCTATAGATTCGCTATACTTTTGTATTTTCCCTTAGTGATGGATCCTTCTTCCAGTCTTTGTATGTCCTTTAAAAGCTGTGCACGGCCTAAATTTCTGGCACTCCCTAAATCGCTTCAGATGCCTACTCCCTGTCTACCTATTAGCCACACTGGAGGAGGCAAAGCTGGAGTAGTTCATTTCCTTCTTGAGACTCCCTATCATTCTGAAGTCCTCTTCCCCTTTGGAAAAAAGAGCTTGGGCGTTAAAGACAGACTCGAGATCACATCCTGCTCTATCATTCAGTGACTAGTCAAGTGACAAGCCATTTCACTCCTGGGGGCCTGCACAATGAGGCTGGCTACCCTTACTACAACTCTGTCCCCTACCTCCAGTTCTCTGGGTACCCCTAACCTTGTTCTAGTTTTCCTTTTTTTCCATAGAACTTTTCACTGAACATATTATATAATTTATTGTTTTACTTATTTAACTCCTTTCCTCAGAATATGAACTCCACGAGGTAATAGATTTTTGATCACTGACATTCTCAAAAGCCAAGAACAGTGCCTGACACATAGCAGGTGTTCAGTAAATACTTGTGCTTTTTTAACTTCTTTATTAATGTTTTTTATTTATCTTTGAGAGACAGAGAGAGACAGAGCGAGCAGGGGAGGGTCAGAGAGAGAGAGGGAGATACAGAATCCGAAGACAGGCTCCAGGCTCTGAGCTAGCTGTCGGCACAGAGACCAATGCGAGGCTCGAACCCATGAACCGTGAGATCATGACCTGAGCCGAAGTCGGACGCTTAACCGACTGAGCCACCCAGGTGTCCCAATAAATACTTGTTAAAGGAACGAATTAAGAGAGTCACTCAGGAAATAAATAACTGAAATTATTTTTTTAAACATCTCTGCCCTTCTTGTTCCAAGTCTGTCTTAAAGGAAGAGTATCTTGTTTTTCTCTATACAAGGACTTAGCTATGAGTACTTATCTCTCCCACATCTTAGTGAATATAGAGCATAAAGAACAGCACTCTGCCGAGAATTATGAACTTCTGTGAGTATGGACAATTAAGGAGCCTAGGACCTTTATCATAACATAGCTCCTAGATATAAAGAAATAAAGTGTGAAATCTGGTTTTATCTGGAAATTTCAATCCTAGCTAATGGAAGTATGCATACCCACTTTGTACCAGCAACTGAGGGAAGAAACTTAAGGGTGCAACTGAAATTATTAAAATGCTGGGAATGAGGGGCGCCTGGGTGGCTTAGTCGGTTAAGCGTCCGAGTTTCGCTTAGGTCATGATCTCGCAGTTCGTGGGTTCCGGCCCCGCGTCGGGCTCTGTGCTGACTGCCAGCTCAGAGCCTGGAGCTTGTTTCAGTCTGTGACTCCCTCTCTCTCTGACCCTCCCCTGCTCACACTGTCTCTCTCTCTCTCTCCTAGAAATAAATAAAACATTAAAAAAAAAAAAAAAGAACCACCCTTTAAAAAATAAATAAATAAATAAAATAAAATAAAATGCTGGGAATGAGATTCTGGTCCATTTTACCCTGTGTCAACTCCAGTCATGTACATGGAGTCTATAAGATGTCTCGTTTATACTGATGGTGTGGTGGGAGGTTCAATTACAGAATAATGACTCCCCCACTTCTTAAAGCTCCATCCCTCTGTAATGCTAACTTACCTAGGCTTCCAGAGGCCACACTTCTCCTTTTGTGCCACTCCAATCTCCTTGGCATCATCCTTTTTATTTACCACAATCATAGAAGTGCTCGTTCTAACCTTTGGTCTTTGGAATTCGGATATCAGAATTTAAGGAGGCATCCTTTCCTACCTGCTATAGGTTGCCTGTTACACTTAACTTGATTTTTTAATACTTTGGGTGCACAAGCCATTGATGAATTCTATTTCTCTCGCACTACCCCTTCTTCTGCCCTCTCTCTATCCTCCCATCTCTCTTTTCTCCTCACTGACTACAGGATATTTTACACCAGAAATCACATTTTAACCTACATTTTCATGAACTGAGGTATAAGAATATAGAGTCAAGGTATAAGAATATAGGGGCTTCCTGGGAGTAAGCAATTAGAAGAGAGGAAGGCTGATAGCTCCATGATACTAGGACAGAAGCAGGGAAAGGGGCAGATGAGAAGAGCCCTCTTGGGGCCTCAAAGATTGTTGTACCCTGCCCCTGCAAAAGAGACCAACTTTAATGGGATCAGATTGTGGAGCTATTTGTAAGCCTGGGACATTGTTAAAAACAATAGCACAATCAGCTAGCAATTAGTGAAGGCTAATAGCTGGGTCTGGTACAAATAGAGGCAGATGGTGGGGGGGTGGGTACTTGGGTGGCTCAGTTGGTTGAACATCTGACTCAATTTGGGCTCAGGTCACGATCCCAGGGTCGTGAGATGGAGCCCTGAGTCAGGCTCTGCTCTGTGTGTAGAGCCTACTTAAGATTCTCTGTCCCCCTCTGCCCCTCTCCCCAACTTGTGAGTGCTCTCTCTCACACACTCTCTCTCTCTAAAAAATCAAATAGAGGCAGATGGGCAAAAGCTTAAAGGGGAAATCAGGGAAAGAGACAGAGAGCCTACCTAAAGCTACAACGGCCCCAGTAATCAGGGAAATTGTGTACATGCTCTTCACCCTGTAAAAAGTGACATCAGAGACCACACACGGAGAGGTCACAGACGTCACTGAACTAGTCAAGACAAGCACTAAACAAATAAATGAGCAAAGAAGCAAATAACAACAGCAAGCCCCAGAGGAGCATGGGAATAACTATCTAGAGGTACTACATTACTTAAAATACCCAGTTTTCTACCAAAAAGTTATAAGACATGCAAGAAAAAAATACACAGGGGAAAACAAACAGGCAATAGAAACTGCCTTTGAGGGGACTAGATGTTGACTTAGCAGATTTCAAAGTAACTATTATAAATATGTTCAAAGACGGATATATATATATAAAACACACCACTCAACCAGAATGGAATACATTTTCTTCTCAAGAGCACATGGAGCATTCAGACCATATGTTAGGCCAAAAAAAGCCTCGCTGGGATGCCAGGCTGATCAGTGGAGCATGCAACTCTTGATCTCAGGGTTGTAAGTTCGAGCCCCATGTTGGGTGCAGAAATTACTTAAAAAAATAAAACCTTAGGGGTGCCTGGGTAGCTCAGTTCATTAAATATCTGACTCTTGATTTTGGCTCAAGTAAGGATCTCACAGTCATGAGATCAAGCACCTAGTTGGGCTACATGCTGGGCATGGCGTCTGCTTAAGATTCTCTCTCTCTCTCTCTCTCTCTCTCTCTCTCTCTTTCTCTCTCTATCCCTCTGCCCCTCCTCCACTCATTCTCTCTCCCTCTCTCCCCTACATTCTCTCTCTCTCTCTACAAAAAAATTCCAAAGCTTAAAAAATAGCCTTGTTATGTTTTAAAAGGATTTAAATCATGTAAAGTATGTTCTCCAACCAAAACTGAATTAAATTGGATCATTAAGAGAAAGAAATATGGGAAACTCACAAATATGCAGAAATTAAATAACACACTCCTAAATAATCACAAGGAAGTTGGAAAATACTTTGCGATGAATGAAAATGAAAGCACAACACAGCAACACTTAACAGGATGGAGCTAAAGTAATACTTAGAAGGAAATTTATAGCTTCATTATGAAAGGCAAGAGAGCTCAAATCATGACATTACCTTTCACTTTAAGAAAGCAGAAAAAGAAGAGCAAACTAAATCTAAAACAAGCAGAAAGAAGGAAATAATAAAGATTAGAGACAAATAAATGAAGGAGAGAATAGAAAATAATAAAGGAAGTCAATAAAACCAAAAGTTGGTTCTTTGAAAAGCTCAATTAAATTGACAATCCTTGGTGAGACTGACCAAGAAAAAAATAGAGAGACTCAAATTACCAAAATTAGGAATAAAAGAGATGACATCACTACTGACTTTACATATATTTAAATACACATATATACTACAAGCAACTTCAGGTCAACAAATTAGATAAATTAGATGAAATGGACAAATTCCAAGTAGATAAATGAGGATGACTACCAAGATGCAAACTACTCAAAAAGAAATAAAAAATCTGAATAGAACTATAGCAAGAAAGAAGGGTGTGAATTAAGTTTTAAACTCCCTACAAAGAGGGCACCTGGGCAGCTCAATTGGTTAAGCATTCAACTTCGTCTCAGGTCATGATGTCGCGGTCCATGAGTTCAAGCCCTGTTTTGGGTTCCGTGCTGACAGTTCAGAGCCTGGAGTCGGCTTCAGATTCTGTGTACCTCTCTCTCTCTGCCCCTCTCCCACTCATACCCTGTCTTTGTGTCTGTGGTGGGAGGTAGGGGGTCTAACTTTATTCTCTTACATGTTCCTGGTAGAAATTGACAAGATGATCCTAAAGTTCATATGGAAATTCAAGGGACCCAGAACAGTCAAAGCAATCTTGAAAAAAAATGGAGAACCCATACTTCCCAATTTCAAATTTCTCCAAAGCTATAGTAATCAAAACTGTGTAGTGCTGATGTAAAGATAGAACATAAAAATCAGGAAGTAGAATTAAGGGTCTAGAAATAAACCTTCATATTTATGGCCACTTGATTCTTTATGAATGACAAGAAACTTCAATGAGAAGAGTCTTTTTAAGAAATGGTGCTGGGAGAGGCACGCCTGGCTGGTTCAGTCAATTACTTAAATTAAAAATAAAACTTAGTGGTTCAGTCAGCTGAGCATCTGACCTCAGTTCAGGTCACAATCTCATCAATCATGAGTTTGAGCCCCACATTGGGCTCTATTTCCCCTTCTCTCTGTCCCTCCCCAGCTCATGCTTCCTCTCTGTCTCAAAAATTAATAAAAACATCAAAAAAATTTTTTTAACTTTAAAAGAATAAGAAATGGTGCTAGGATAACTGGATATCCACATGTAAGAGAATAAAGTTAGACCCCCTACCTCCCACCACAGACAAAAATTAACTCAAAATGTATTAGACACCTAAATATAAGAGCTTAATCTATAAAATTCTTAGAAGATATATGAATAAATCTTCATGACTTTGGGTTAGGCAATGGCTTCTAATTTATACCTAATACCAAAAACACAAGCAAAAAAGAAAAAAAGGTATTAGATTTCATCAAAATTAAAACATTTATGCTGTCAATAATACTATCAAGAGAGAGAAAAGATAGCCCACAGAATAGGAACGCATATAGGCTAACATTATATCTGATAAGGGTTTTATATATGTAAAGAATTCTTATAATACAATAAAAATATAAATAACTCAATTTTTTAAAAAAATTTTTAGGGTGCCTGGGTGGCTCAGTCGGTTGAACATCTGACTTCAGCTCAGGTCATGATCTCACGGTTCATGGGTTCGAACCCCACGTCGGGCTCTGTACTGACAGCTTAGAGCCTAGAGCCTGCTTCAGATTCTGTGTCTCCCTCTCTTTCTGCCCCTCCCCTGTTCATGATCTCTCTATCTCTCTCTGTCTCTCTCTGTCTCTCTCTTTCAAAAATAAATAAACATTTTTAAAAACTTAAAGTCTTTTTTTTTTTTTTTTTAGCATTTATTTATTTCTGAGAGACAGAGTGCAAGCAGGGGAGGGGCAGAGAGAGAGGGAGACACAGAATCCTAAGCAGGCTCCAGGCTCTGAGCTGTCAGCACAGAGCCTGATGTGGGGCTCGAAACCACGAACCATGAGATCATGACCTGAGCTAAAGTCAGACCCTCAGCCAACTGAGCCACCCAGGCGCCCCAAATAACTCAGTTTTTTAAATGAGCAAAGGATCTGAATAGATATTTCTCTAAATAAGACATAAAGATGGCCAATTAGCACATGAAAAGACGCTCAACATCATTAATCAATAGAAAAATGCCAAAAACCACAACAAATCAAAACCACAATGAGATTCCACCTCATACCCACTAGGATGGCCACAATCAAAAGGACAGATGTGAAGAAATTGGAACCTTCAAACAGTAGTGATGGAAATGTAAAATGGCGTAGTCACTTGGGAAAAGTTTCAAGTTTCTTAAAATGTTCAAGTTAGAATTATCTTATGACCAAGCAATTCCACTCCTAGATATATACCAAAGAGAAAGGAAAATGTATGTCCACACAAAAACATGTCTGTGAATGTTTATAGCAACATTATTCATAATAGCCAAAAAGTGGAAATTCAAATGTCTTCCCACTGATGAATGAATAAACAAAATGTGGTATATCCACACAATAGAAAATTATTTAGTAATAAAAAGAAACAAGGTACCGAAACATCTTACAGCATGGATGAACTTCAAAACACTGGGCTAAATAAAAAAAAATAAAAAAAAAAAAAGCCCAACACAAAGGATCACATATTGTATGGGTCTATTTCTAGAACATGGGTAGGACAAATAAATCTATAAAGACCAAAAGCAGATTAGTGGTTGCCTAAGGCTGTGGGAGGGGGTGTCTGGGGAGGGAATGGAGAGTGACTGGTAATAGGTATGGGATTTCTTTTTTGGGTGATGAAAATGTTCTAAAATTAAATTATGATGACAGTTGCACAACACGGACTAAACCAAAACCACTGAATTATATACTTTAAATGAGTGAATGAGTGAATTATATCTCAATGAAACTATTAAAAGTATACTGACAAATTCTGAAAGAAGAGTATGATCTACTTATAAAGTTCAGTCACTTTCCTTTGTATATACTAAGAGAGACAACATCATCCATGTTGCATCTTTTTTGCTACCTTGGCAAATACTCTGATTACCTACCTGTTCCCATTCATGCTTTGTCAACTGCTCAGAAAGGGATGAACTTGATGTGACTTCCCAAGGCATAACCGTTGCATTTATTTTGTGTTTCTTTGACTTGGTATCGTGGCCTCCATCTAAGGGAACTGGTGGCATCAGCACAGATTTCATCTGCAAAACAAATTCGCTCTTTAGTCAAACCCTAGGTTTCATGCGCTGCAGACAGAAACTTAGTGCTAGCTGCCACTCTGTCTATATCATCGTGCCTCAACCTCAATGAAAAACACCCGGTCACCTTTTCCATCTCACCCACCACTTTTATCTCATTGATTCACTGATCTCTATAAAGTGGGCCTGTTACATTCTGTTCGTACATTTTTTAACTAGAGACATTGCCCTTCAGGCATGTCTGTTTGAGTTTCTAAAGTCCCCCGGAGGCAGAGATGTCAGTGCTAGACATGTCCAGAGGTCTAATCACAGGAAATGGAAGGTGCTCAGGGAAAACTCGTCTCCCTCTGAGCCTTCACCTACACACGGGGCTAAGAGAGAGTCAATAAGCTTTAAATTCAGAAACACCTCTTGTGAGGGTGGCTGCTTTTCCTGTTGTTGTGTTTTCCAGGAGATATGGGAGAAAATACATTTGTGTTCAGGAAAGTTCTCCAAAGGGACAGAGGTTGAAAACTTTGAAAGCCTTCAACTTCCATGCCATGTAATTCACAATCTGACCCTGCCAGCAACAGGTCTAATCCTGGCAACAAAGGTGATGCATTCTCTGGAAAGTAAAATGTCTTTCTGATAGTAAAATGCCTATTACAATCCCTTCTGTGTTCCCTTACTTAAACTAAGACTCTAATCTTATACTTGTTTCTTCATAATACCATACCTTTATATAAAACAATTGGAAACAACACTTCTGTTAATGGTAGGCACTTTGTCACTTCTGTAAACCAGGGTGTATACAAAATCTTACCCTTAGTTTTTAAAAATAAGATTGAATCTTATTCTAAGGTCTTGTCATATTGAGATGGTTGGAAATTCCATCTCAGCTATTATTAGTGAGTTCACAGCCTAGCCTCCCATCTCTCCCCAGCAAATATCCCCAGGTCCTGACCAGAGCAGAATATTCTGGGAGGCCACTCTAGATGTGGGTCCACACAACTTCTGATAAGCTCAATGGACAAGGCCATATGGACTCTTGTACAAGTGGCTCTGCTGTTTCCAAGGCCACTTGGGATCAAGATACTTTGCCCCAACCCCCCCCCCTAAGGCACCACACCATCATTTTCTCCTGGGAGCCCTACTAGTCAACCCTTTCTATACCACCTGCCAGGGAATTTAAAGAATACTAAACCAGAGTCTTGTAAAATCTTCCTTCTCTGTCCCTCTGCATTGACACCCCCCCCCAACTCACCCACCTTATAAAATGCCTTTAATGAACCCAGAAGGAGGTTTTTATCAGGTTCCCCCATCCTACCCCACCCCATTAACAATTATACCATGCCGGGAGCCGCACGGGCCTCTCTGGATGGCAGTCACAGCAAGGATATGGCAACGTTTGCAGCTCCTGCCATGAGAAATGAAAACTGGTATCTCCTTCTGCTACTACTGGCTCATGTTGGATATAAGCCTGCTGGTATTGACCAGGCCTCACAATATTCCAGATCAGACCCATATTCTGAATACAGATACCTCATAAGGAAAAGCATATTCCTGCCTTTACAAAAGAGATTTTAGATGAAAGCTCTATGCGCGATGTCAAAAGGCTCTTCCTATGGGCCTTGCAGTTCTGAGACTTAGGGGGTTAAGAACACAAGAGTTACAATTGAGCCTGGCCCCGAGACAAAGAGCCTAATTTAAAGTTAAGGTACAGATAAGGGCAGAACATCGTTACTACATATATCTTTGCTAATTGGTGAAACATAACAGTCCCTTCCTCAAGGCCTACTTTCCACAAACACCCTCCCTTACACTGGCAGCTGGGATGAGGATAGATAAGAGTAGCTAAAACATAACCCAGGGGCAAAAGACTGACCCATTCAGGGCCCCCATGATAGTTTCCACAAACAAACCAATTCAGAAACATTCCTCCTCTTGAGAGCCAGACAAAATACTCCTAGCTTATCTATATGCAATTTGACCTATATGTTATCCTGCTTTTCACTAAGAACATTCTGTTATTTCCTTGGTCGGAATAATTCTGCAATTGATATCACAAAAGGCCTCCCATTGTAAGAAATTCCTTTCTCTGACTTCATCTTGTTGCTGAGCCTTTACATAAAGACACAAAAACCGACAGGACAGAGATGCCTGCCTGGTGATCAGAAAGGATCTCGCTGACACTGTCCATCCTTCAGGGACCCCTGGACCTGCTGGAGCCGGCTCAGCCTCCAGCAGTACCACAACAACAGGTATAAACCAGGAAGCAGAGTCATCCCTACACGTAAAAGGGCCTTAAGGGATGGGAAGGTGGAGGTTGTAAAATTGCACTTGAAAATCTACTTTTATATTTCATCTAGTAGAGTTCTGAAGCCTTGAACCTACTACTTTCATTACAGTTCATTTATATTTAATACAAATATGTGCTGCCAGTTCAACCTCACTCTAGCAGGGATAGAAGATACATAAAGTACACATGTCAAATGTCTATGTTCAAGACCAGGCTTATGAGTAGATGGAATGATGATTCCCAAAGGGAGTGAAATTTGAGGTTTCCTGAGAAAATTCCTGGCCCAAAAACTTCTCTTCAGGGTATTTTTTGGTGACTAAAATTCAAACGTCGGGGGTGCCTAGGTGGCTCAGTCAATTAAACATCCAACTTTTGATTTTTGCACAGAGCCTGTTGGGACTCTCTCTCTCCCCCTCTCTGTGTACCCCCCACCACACTAGCATCTGTGCTCGCTCTCTCTCTCTCTCTCTGTCTTTCTCTCTCTCTCAAATAAATAAACTTAAAAAAAAAAAAAGATAATTCAAACCTCAGTTCCAAGTATCAAGAATGAGAGGAGAGAGTTGAAGGAGAGAGCTCGTGTTCAGAGGTTACTCTATGCTATTTTCTTCATCTAGATAATTATATTTAATCCTCCTAACAATTCCATATTTTAGGTATTTTTAGCTTCCACACACAGGTGCAGAAACTGAGGCTTTGAAAACTTTAGTACTTTGCCCGGTCACCCAGCCAGGAAGTGATGGAAGCAGGAAGTAGAGCTAGCTATGTCTGTGTGATGTCAGAGCCTCACGGAGTTTAGTAGGTCAAGGTGGCTCTCACCCTAGGGTCTCCACAGAGATAGTACTAGGCGTTCCAGAGCCATGCTCTTACTATCTCAAAAACTCTAGAGAGGGCTGGAGCCTCAGACTAACTCCAGGAAAGGAAAAGTTTTCAATCCAATCGACAGGTAGTGATGGCTGTGGTTGCTCAGCGCTGTTGTCTCAGGGCGGCGGTGGTAGAGCATTGAATTCCTGCCGTGTGCTTGCCAACATCGGACTGACAAAAACATCATGTTCCCTTGCTCTTGGCTAGAATCACATCCACTTGTTATGTTAACACTGACTACCTCGTGTTGATCAGAATGTTTTATTGGACTGATTATTTGCTGATATCATGAGAAAATGCATTAAAGGTAGGGTGAAAAATTTGTTGCAGTTGAGGTACTTTTGACAATAAAGGGAGGCACTATTAATAATCACACGAGGACAATAGGTGCAAGCCAGGAAACAGGGTCATGGCTGGGTTAGGCTTGGGAGGATGTATGTAAAATCACAACAGATTCAGTAAAGAGGTTGTAAAGAAGTTCTATACAGTTTTGTATGATGAGGTCTGCCTTGCTTTGGTCTTAAATCTCTTAGGAGATATCCAACAAGCAATGATTAAGTATTTACTACAACTTGGGTGCTGGAGCTACGTCAGTGAATTAGAGAAGCAGGGGAGGCTAGTAAACAGTACCCCAATTCTTTACTCAATTCTGATAACTGTTATGAAGGATATGTACAAGGGGCTTGTGAGCACATAGAAGGGGACCTGACCTAGTCTGGAGGTCATGGAAGACTTTCCAGAGGAGGGGTGCATTTAAGCTGAAATTTAAAGGATGCAAATTATCAATAATATTATCTTTCATATGTACGTAAAGGTGTAAGGGCTCCAGAAACTCAAGGTGAATTTCTGTCTATATCGAATTAAATTCCAGTAGACTCCACTTGCCTAGACTGGTTAGAAGCTGACTCTCAGTCTTGAGGGGTGAGGGTTCAGGTGTCTCACTAGGACCATAGGATCACCTGGTTCCAGAGCTGCTATCAGTGCTCATGCTCACGTGGCACCTCCCGTGCCCCTGGTCTGGGGGCTTTGGCCGGGCTCTGGTACAGGCAGAAGGTAATTCCAGGCACTCTGCTAGGCCCAGCCAATGGGGCCCTTCACTCCGTATGGGAGCTTGTCAGGCCACACACTGCCTCTTCCCTTGAAGGTTCTAGACACGTTCTTGCTCTGCTTCTGATGTACTTAATACGACTACTCAGGTTTAAAATATTCCACTCCCCAAATACCCCTGAGCAATTCGGAAGTATACGAGAAATCATATCAATTCAGAAATAAATTGCCGTATGCTTTCATTTATATGAGGCACCTAGAGTAGTCAAACTCAGAGACAGAAAGTAGAACGGGGGTCACCAGGGACTGGTGAGAGGGGAGAATGGAGAGTTGTTGTTTAATGGGTGTAGAGCTTTGGTTTGAGAAGTTGAAAAGTTCTGGAGATGGATGGTAGGGATGTCTGCACGACAGTGTGAATGTACTTAATGCCACTGAACAGTACACCGAAAATCGTATGTACATTTTACAACATTAATTAATTAGAAATTTTAATGTTTAAAAATCAGGATTTTTCATTTTTAGAAACTATATGAAATGTCAACATTTCTTCATTTTCCACTTTCATCATGAAGTTAAAATATTTCTTTTCCATATTTAGAAGTTACCCATTTAGTTACTTATCTTATAATCACAGATTTTCTTAAAATTTGTACTGATCTTTGCGGCGTACAACTACCAAAACACGAAAGAATACAAAATAATAAATGAAAAGAGGTATAAAACTCTGAGACAAGATTTATGTAAATGCTGCTTCTTACTTTGTGTCTTTCTATACGGTGGAGTAAATTCAAGTCCGTGGACTCTGATATCCCACCATGTATGACGAGGATTTCATTGTCAATGATTGTACCAATTGGGAGCCAGGTATAGACGTCCTCTAGAATTTGCAAGATTTTTTTCCCATGTATCTGTAAGTAAGAGCTTGAGTAAGTTTTGTGTTTCTGATAAGTTCGAGTTTATCACAAAAAGCAACAGTTATTATGCCACACAAAGGAAGTCTACACGGAGTTACTAACCCATCAGCGCACATTAATCCCGATACTTTCACATACTTTGGGGCCTTGCTGACCCTGGAGAGGAGACTTCCCCTCCCAGAGCTAGCTATAACTAATTCCTAGAAATCACAGATGAAATGCATATCATATGCAGGTGAGAGTGCCTTTCATATGCAAACCAACCAATCCAGAGATCACAGCCCCCAACCACCTCTGCTATAGGGCTCTGGCACTATAGGCCTCTATTCCCCTGCCTTAATCACCCTACAGACAGGTACCATACAACTAAACACAGCGCCTGTGCCCCAGAGCTTGCTGAAATTGTTCAAACTAGCCACTCCTAAACCCTGATCCCTTCCCACAGAAACCAAAATAAAGGCTCTTGCCCACGTTTCCCCCTCATTCTTTCTGCCTCTTGACCAACCCTGGTGCTTCCCCACATGCCCCCCCCCCTTCCCCCCTCATGCCTATGCTTCTAGGGAACTGTGAGTAAAACTCTTCCTTTATGACAGTCATTTCTGTATCTGCATGTTTTCCCATAGGGAGTAAAACAAATCCTGGGTACCTTGAAAACAAGAGAATATGTTCATATCTATGCTAAAACTTACACAAAAGTCACAATGAAAAAGCTCAGTTTAGTCCAGGAAGAAAATGAGTCCTCTACCATGGCCAGCACTTCCTGTTGTGCTTTGACTGTATCGGCATGGGGACTGACTAGTTTACTCATCACCCTTCCTAAAGGCTCTTTGTTTTAGTTCTATGTATAAACAGCAGAGAGAATGCAAAAAAAAAAAAAAAAAAGTATAGGAGTCTTACCTTATATTTATACAAAATTTCTTTTGTGAAGCCATACCTGAAAAAAACAATGGTATTTAAATGAATAAAATGTTGGTAACTCCTACCTACAGGAGTCACACCCAAAGGGGAGCCATTGAATCTCAGTATCACAAGAATCAAGAACTCAGGAAACTAGAGTTTAGATGAAACTATTACTTACCCAAGTCTTTGCTAGGCATGATGGGAAAGAACAAAAGCAGCCAATGACACCGTCCCTACCCCAAAGGAGCTTATAGTATAATTGGAGAAAGAAGATAAATTTTCATGAAACAATTACAAGGCAACTTAAGAAATATGTTGTAGGTATAGGATGTGTGGCTGCAAGTCCTCAGAGAAGTATGCTGTGGCACCTGGGGAAACTGTGTGGGAGAATGCTTTTCATTTAGATAGAATTTCCCGGACAGCCTAAATCTTATCGTATATGATTGAAGGTGCAGGAACAGGAGGATGGGGGGCGGGGGAGAGTGGACTGAGCCGAGACAAAGGAAAGCCTAGAAGATAATAAGTTGGCTCTTTGTATGCTCTCTGATAGAGTTCATGTAATGGCATTCAAGATTTTCCTAGAAACTGTCAGGAATTTTCATGCCTGAACAGCAGTCACTATGGGAGCTTTAATGATGGAAATCTTTTTTCATTGCTTTCATTGCCTTAGGATTGTAACATATATTCTTAAGGCCCAACACAGGAAAGTCAGAACACAGCACACTCATTCCAGGTTTCCATGCAAGTCCTGTCATGTCAGGCTTCTAGAGTGTAATGCTATGTTTTCCAAGAGGAATTCAGTCCTGCCCTCATCAACGACAGCTATGTTGTTAAATGCAGTGGACACCTTGCAGTCCTCATTTTTCTTGCCGTCTCTGAAATATTAAATATGGTTGACTACACCATCCTTCTGGAAAGCTTGTCTTCTCTTGGATTCTGTGACAATAAAACCTCTTGGTTTTCCTCATACCTTTCTGGGTATTCTAAATCCTTTGCAACTTTTTCTCTGTCTAGCCTTGAGTGCTGGGGTCCCCTCAGACTCTGTCCTAGGCCCTCTTCTCCTCTCACTTTCTCTTGTGGCAATTTCATCCTTGCCCAGAGCTTTGGTTACTATCTATGTGCCAATATTGCAGGACAATGCTGCAGGCCACACTTCGTTTCTGAGCTCTGGACACATACACTCAATTGTCTACTGAAAAGCACTTCAAATAACCTTAAGCCAAACTGAATTGGCAATTCTCTCTCATGCCAACCTTTTCCTCTTATCATGTTCCCAATATCTGTGAACAATGCCACTCTACTTCCCAATTCAAGCCTGGGATCTGAAGGTTACCCTTTATTCTCTCCTCGTTTGAATCATCATCGCCTAAACTCCTCTCGAATCTGTCTACTTCTTTGCATTTCCATCCCTACAACCCTTCCTATGTGAGGGAATCCATCATCTATCTCTTCAACTACTTCCTAAGCAGCCTCCCACATTCAAATATTTCTTCCTGCTGCATTTTAAAACACAAATTTTACGAGATCCTTCTATGATTTTTTTGTTGTTGGCCTTAGAAAAAAGTCCCAATTCATTTGCACAATCCAACCATTTCTTATGTCTCCAACCCTATTCGGGACCATTCTGTCTCTCAGTCGGTGCTCTTGCCCTCCTGAAGTGCTTTCATATCTCTCCATAAACTGTCCCCTCGCTGTGGAATGCCATTTCTCATCTACCACCATGGCCCTTTCTGAATTGCTTAATTTATCCCTTCAGGCCTCAAGCTAATGCCATACTTCTATGGGAGAACCTTCTGTCACCCCTCAGACAAGTTAGGCCCCCCACTTTACAAACTCATCACACTTGACAATCCTATTTCACATAAGTCTTCCCCACTAGATGTAAATTCTGTGAGGGCAGGAGCCACACCTCTTTCATTAACCATTACAGACACTAGATAAATATGATTGGCCAACTGAATAAATGCAGGGGTAAGTGGCATGCCCAAATAAAAGTACTGAGCTACAGTATATATAATGGACCTCTGATAACAGTCGGGGATTCTTTTTCATCATAGTCTCAGCATCTGCTTCCATACCTGAGAGTCAGAATTGAAACTCTATACTCAAGCCAGGTGCTGAAACTGCCCCAAAGACAAAACTAATCAGTTGCTGAGCTTTCATCAAGGCATCCAAAAGCCTAGGACCAAAAGCATGAGGCATATCATATGTCATGCCTTCTACTGCCCTAGAGCCAACTAGTAAAGGGGGGGTGAAGGAGGAAGAAAGGAGGGAAAGGGTAACACTTATCACCTACTGTGCCTTTCTGCAAAATTTGGGAAACCAGTTAACCAATCTTTGTTCCTCAGATCTCCAGTGAGTCAGATAGCTGAAATGCTATGTTACAGCTGTTCTCAAATATGTTTGTGAACAACTATGCCAGAAGCAATCACCATGTCATAAAAAATCTACACATCAGTGAAAAACACAGTACTAGTTTCTGAGACAACATCTGAGGCAAGCCACAAGAGTAGCCACAGATGATTTCACCTGAGCCTGCTCGTGGAAACTACCACGTCGCCAAAGCTCGCCTAACACATCCACCCAGGGAACAATTTGGCCTGTGATGGCAGGCATGGGAGGAAGAGAAAGAACATAACAGAAGGGAGAGGCAGGGACAGAACTGGAAGAAAAGACAGGAAGAGGACTCCAGAGTCATTTATACTCACTCAGTATAAGGCTGTGGTGTTAAATAGAGGTAAGAATTGAGGTCTCCCTTGAGACTCCCCTCATACCTACTTCTCTACAGTCACCTCTAACTCTCTGCTAGGAACTAAACATGGTGCTATTTTTCAGAATGGGAAACAACAGAGGAAATCTAAAGGCCTAGGTTACCTCAGATTCATCATAAAATCTTCATGGTTCCCTCTGTTCAAGTGCAGGTCATTGGGGTAGACAAGAAAACTCACAAACAGGATCATTAGGATCTCTATGGAATTTCTTCCTCGATCTACAAAATCCCCATTAAAAACATAGGAGTTGCTCTCTGAGGGGAGACCATTCTGTGGAAGGAGGAGAGGGGGAAAAACAAGCAGTTAAAAGAATGTACTTTTAAAGTAAGGCTTTGTATCTACTGTCCCTGTAAATATGGAGAAAAGAGACGGAGTCAGTTCCTCCACCAGGTGAGATCTGCTAACGAGCTAGTTTCACTCTTCAGGGCAGGCATCTCCTTCCTACAAGGGACCTTGGAAGCGAAACATTAGCTTGAGACAGGAAGATTCCGGGTGGTGGTGGGGAGGGAGGTGGGATGGTGACTGCTCATTCTACGCACTACCTACTATGAGTTTTCTCTGAAAGGAGCTGATTTTTGTCCTATCAAAAATGGCTACTCATCTCTTCCTTCTCCCTTGAAAAGAGAGAAACTTCCAGCCAAGGAAGAACACTGAACCAAGAGCCAAAAGTCTCTCATTCTAAGAGGCCCTGTGTTTAACTTCTTATGGCTGTGAATCCCTCAATTTGCAAAAAGGGGATGACACTATACCCACCCCCACCTCCCTCCCCACATCAAATGAGAGAATGAATTGGAAAATACCCAGCAAAATGTAAGGCACCATGCAACGGTGAGCAAGGCTGATGTATCACCAGTACACTCTGATACAATCACACCAGGTGTTGATAGCTGGCAGATACTGTGACTGCTTGCTGACCAGGTCTTAAATATTTTTATTATCACTCCTGGGCATGAGATAATACTCTTAAACACAGCGTTGGTACAAAAAAAGAACTGGGATCAGAACAAAGGCCTGGTCTTTATAACAGTTATTGATTCATTTACTTCTGTACTACTAAACTCGAAGACAAAACAAACATGCCATGCCTACCAGGTAGGGAAATGTTCGAGGGCATAGTGTAATAAATTCAAATGTTTAAAAAATACATTACAAAGAGAAAACTTTAAGTACTTATATATTCAAACGTATGCCCCCCGTTCAGAAAAGTTAACTCAGGAAATAATACCCATATTCTAGTTACATTAATCTTTTTCAAACTATTTTCAAAGTCCTCTTTTTTTAGATTTCAAACTACAAAAGAAATCATTACTTTATAGTCACCATCCTGGTTTTTAAATACATTTTAAGTTGTTCATATTAATATAGTAGAAATAGTTGAAAAAAGTATAATACAGGTTACAATATATGACTCAAAGGTTCCAAAAATCATCATGCAGTGTAATGTGTTCTGAAGAGAATTGGAAACAAACAAGCAAGCAAGCAAGCAAGCAAGCAAGCAGTAGTATAGTACCCTGGACCAGAAAAAGAAGACTTATTTGCTAGTCTGGCTTCATTATTATCTATTTGTCCTTGGGCAAGTTATTTAATCTTTTTGAGCTATAGTTTCCTCATCTGTAAAATGGGGATGATAAGTTCCATACTTAACCATATAGGGCTACTTTGGAACTCAAATGAGACTGTGTGTATACAACTGCAGGAAACCATAGAGTACCATACAAATGAAAAGATTCATTTGATTATGACCTCCATGTTATTTCTAATATTAAGATCCCATTATTTTATATTTTCTTATATAGTAATTCACATAACTTTATCACAGTATCACATTAGGCTTCAAGAGTATGAGCCAGTTGCAAAAATATAGGTTATTGCTTATCAAAACTTAACGAAAAATGGGAGGTTCTGCATGTCTGATGCTCTTCCTTCCCCCAGCCTTCACCAAGTGGGGATGAGTAACCCAGATGAATCTGAAGGCTGTTAGAGGTTATAGGCTCTCTTGGGATTCCAGGCCTGAAGGGGGCTAGCGGGGCAGCAGTAGAGAACCCTGGCATGAGAACATGGAGGAACTGGGTCTGAGGAGACCTGCATACCCCTTGATTAAAGGGTGGCCCTGATACAGAGCATGGGGGAGAGGGAGCTGGATCTTACTAGAAGAAAAGCGTAGGGAACTTTTTCCCTATTTCTGAAGCTAAAAGAAAACTAACACTTGAATTTAGGGCTACCTAGGAACATAGAGAATTCCTCTCCCACTCTTGATGCAGGAGTAGTACTTAAAGGGATCTAGTAATGAGAGAGAAGCAGACCCATCAGATCTGCTAAAGTTCTGTTCCCTAATGAGCTAGAATTGTTGAAGGAGACAGAGGACAACTTTATTTAAGAAAATAAAAGGACCACAAAATAAAGAACAAAAAGGCAATAATTCTTAGCATTTAAAATGTGCTATTCAGATTTAAAATATCAATAGATTAGAGATAATTAAAAGAAACAATGATTGGAAAATACATTATTGACCTGAAAGAATAGATGAAAAATCTCTTACACAGATTAAAAAGCAAAATGACGAAGATTGTAAGGAATGAGTAAGAAATTAGAGTTCAGAGCCAAGAGAACTAATACGCCAATTATAATTCCAGAATCAAGAAAGAGGAACAGATGGAGAAGAGGCAATAATTACAGAAATAAGAGAGGGAGATTTCTATGGTGAAAAAGAGACTTCATCCTGAAGTTTGAAAGAGCTTATGAATACTATGCACAATTGATGGGGGAGGGGGGGTGTCCCTATTACCTGGTAAAATTATTAGAAGCTGCTAGACAGAAAGAGCAAGTTACAAAGGGAAAAGGATCATCCTGGCATTAGACTTCTCATATGCAGCAGTGGTAAATAGAAGATGATGGAATAAATCTACAAATTAAAGAGAGAAAAGGACTATGAACCAAGAATTCTATATTGGCCAAGACATCATTAACTTCTTAGGGTGATAGAAAATATGTGCAGATGTGTAAAGGATCAAATATCAGCAACAACATTATCAGGGTGGAAGAAAGGTATATGTGAGTATGTAGTGATCTAATACCACAAAAACAATGAACATGTATTGACTGCGTGTTATGTGCTACATGCAATTTTAGATGCTAGTAACACAGAGGTAAATAATACAAAGTCCCTGCATCCCAGGAGCTTGGATTCAGAGAATATAGCACCCACATGCCCCATAGAGGAAAACACACAAGAAAATATTCTAACCAAATAACAGTACAGTACAAATAAAAAGTTCTTAAGCCAGGGAAAGATCCAAGAAGAAAGAATACAGAAGTGAACGATGAACCTTTCAATATATAATTCAATATGAATCAATAGTGATAATGTGGAACTTATATTTAAGTACTAATCAAGGATTCTAGAAATAGAAGAGACATACTATGAAGAAAAACCTAACAATGGTCAAGAACTAAAAATATGGCATGAGCAGTAAACTAGAATTTGCAGGGGAGCTCCACAAATCTCATCCAATGGGGGACATACATGGAAAGTGTGACAATAAATACATATATCTTACTGGATGAGAGAGAGTATAATGGAAGAAGAAAGTTATAGCTATTTGATAAATATATACACATGTTATTTATCAGAAATGTCAGGAATGGGAAGATAACCACTAACTAATGGAAAAGCACAGTAAAAATGCCAAAGAAGACAACAATAAAGAAAACTTTCCCAGAACAGCAAAAAGAAAAGGGAGAGGATGAAACAAAGTGAAGTAAATAGTAAACAGAGTAAAAGAAGAAAATTTTTCAAAAATATCTGTTGTTACACTAAATGTGAATGGGTTAAAATCTTCCATTAAAATACCAAGATTGCCAGACTATATTAAAGTACAAAACTCAGATATATATAGTTTGAGAGAAAAACACATTAAAAACAGATAAAGGGAGGTTGAAAACAAGGTAAAAACAACAAAAAGAAAACAAAAACGTAAATATTGATACTAGACAAAGTGAAATTTGGGATTAAAAGTGCTAAACATGATCACAAAGCAATAATACATAATAAAAGGTACTTCTAAAGAAGATACAATTAATGAACTTGTATTCAATAAACAAAAGAACAAGTTTTTGCTTCAAATATTTAACTACTATAGATGCAAGAAGAAATTGTTTAAACATACACAGTATTCATACTGAATTATTGTTTTAAAATAATGTCTACAAATTCTTGGCACTCTCTTGAAAAGATGAAGCCTAATTTCCCTCTTCTTGAATGTGGGTTGGATTTAGTGATTTGCTTCTTTGAATTGAGAAAAAAAAAAAGCAGGATTGATGGTATGCAACTTTGGAGACTAAGTCATAAAGATACTACAGCTTCCTGCCTGCTCACTCTTTTGCATCACTCACTCTGGGGAAAGCCAGATGCTATGCCATGAGAACACTCAGGTACCCTGTGGAGAGGCACATGTGGTTGGTCTGCCCATAGCCAGTGAGGAGCTGAAATGCTGTGCCTGTAGCCATGTGAGTTAGCAATCGTGGACATGGGTCTTTGAGCCGCAGTCAACCTTTCAGAGGACTGTAGCCCTGACCAATAGCTTGCCACCTCATGAGAGACCCTAAGCCAGAACGCTTCAGCTAAGCTGCACTCAAATTTCTGAGCCACAGAAACTGTGTGATATTAAATGTTTATAGTTTTAAGGCACTAAGTATTGGGGTAGCTTACAACACAGCAATATAGACATTTAGACAGATATATTAGGAACTAAATATGTGGAAAAACTGAATATTTAGGAGGACCTGGGTGGCTCAGTAGGTTAAGAATCAGACTTCAGCTCAGGTCATGATCTCATGGTTCATGAGTTCAAGCCCCACATGGGGTTCTCTGCTGTCAGCTCGGAGCCTGCTTTGGATCCTCTGTCTCCCTTCTCCCTGCCACTCCCCCGACTCACATGCACTTTCTCTCTCTCAATAAACATTTTAAAATATTGAATATTTACTCAGTGAACTTAATTTAATAAATGGATATCTGAAGAACTTGACATCCTACAAAAAGAGAGTACAATTAATTCTTCATATGTCCAAGGAGACTTTATGAGAATCAGTCATATACTTGATTTCCAAGAAACCCTGAATAAGTTCAAAATAATAAACATTTCATAGGACATAGTCTCATGCCATAATCCAATAAAATTTGAAATAATTAATAAAACTATGATTCAAAGAATTCTAGCTCCTTTAATTAAGATACTTGGAAATTAGAAATTATAGTCTTAATAAACATTAGA